GAGAAAGTAGGGAGCATGATACCTAGGTAAAAGGACTGTTGAAGTTACCCATGATTTTCTGAATTATTTGTTTTGGTAGGCTCGGAGACAAAATGAAGGTGGTAGCTATTTTACCATTGTAGGCACTTTGGTTAATTATTTCGTCATGAATATTTTGAGGCTGCAACAATTTTAATTTTTCCAATCCGACATTCACAAGTTTTTCCTAGCTAAGCATTGCCTTGTTGTTTAAGATATGTTGGGAGGTCAAACTACACCACATTACATTCTCAGCAATAAATAGAATAATTACATGTACAAACCTAAGAATCAAACCTGGCCATGTCAAAGTACTCCTATGCACGAATGATCCGTTTGATTTATGGGATTAGCAGCAAAAGATGAGGGGAAAAAAGGCGGTATAAAAGTGTAGAAAAAAAATCAGGATAAAAACTTGAAGGTGAGAAAAAAGTTGAGGAAGGAAAAATCAAGCACAAAATTTGCATGGCTCTTACTGGGCTCTAGACATTTTTCTATCTTATATTAAGAACACTTAGATGGAGAAGAGTTTCCAATTCCATGCTCTACACTCTCTAACATATATCTAAAAGTAAGCCAGTCTGTGAAACCTGCCATTGTGGAGACCTTCAATAGAGGTGTGACTGTCGAGTTCCCCTTCACAATCACCCCATTTTTTGTTATCTCTCCTTGATTTTCATATAAAATTATTATTGAGATACTGTTTTAGAAGGAACCCTTATCATCTACTTATAATAGTTTACCCTGACTCAGAATATGCTGCTTGGAACTTTTTTTAGAGTAAGAATAACCCCTCCAACCCCCCAATCACCGTCAAGTTGTTGATAGTTTAATGCTTCCCAAAGACTGACCAAAGATTGATGTTTGATTATTTCTTCTTTCTTCAGGTGGGGAGGTGACGGTTGGACACACTCTCTTAAAAGAGCAGGACAGAGAGATGGATTAGAGTTTAAAAACTGGAAAATCTGGCCAAATTCTTTACATGCCCACAGACTTGTTCATTTGGCTGGGGTGCAAAAAGGAGCCGAGGGTCAGGGAAGAGCAAAGGATATTTTATTCCGTATGATCTATGAGGATGGTTTGAATGTGAGTGAAGTTGAGACACTCATTGAAGCTGCCAAGGAACTGGGACTGGAGGGAAGTGAAGAGTACCTGAAGTCATCACGTGATGTGGATTTGATTTTGTCTGAAGATTCCCATGCAAAGTCTGAAATGAAAATATCTGGTGTGCCGTTTTTTGTCATATCTGGTAAAAACCAGAAGACAGTTTCTTTGTCAGGGGCCCAGGGCACAGAACAGTTTTTAGCAGCTCTTAATCATGTTTGCCAGTAGCCGCTACACTATTGCTTAATATGAGCGTACATTTATTTTGTAACTACTTAAACTTAAAAGCAAAACACTGTCGAACTTCCCATAAGCAACCACCCAAGATGTGAAGATTTGGTGGTCGCTTACTAGGGGAGACCGTTTACGAGAAGTTCCAAGTATAGGGCTTTGACTGGAAAAAAATTGGTGTTAAATATTCTTACATTTTCCTATCTAAAAACCTCGTTAATCTTCATCGTCGCAATCATGGAGTTTCACTATACTTCAGTGTACCTTGGAGGATTTTTATCTTTGGTTACTTCTTCGAACAAGATTGCTAAATTTTGTGTAAAAGTTTTATATTACTGAATTCTCCAAAATCACTATGTTTTTGCTGTCATCTGTACATATTTACTGGCTGCTGATAATGATGAACTATCGTACGGTTTGAAATAACACAGGGTTTGAGCCAGGCCGCGCCATTGCGCCAATCCCGCACTGAAATTGGAATTGTCCCTTTAAAAAACGGCCAAGGGGACAATTTGTCCCCTTCAAAATTTAGGGAAAAAACTCGAGAGGAAGCACACACGAAGAGATTTATTTCGGTACAGAAGTTGCAAGCTGAAACAGAACGTGGAAAGTATATTTTATCGCACCTTTAAAGTTCATTCCAAAGTTACGTTTCAGTGACGCTCTACTGCTATTTTTGTCGGAAATCTAAGACAGGGCTTCTGATTTTTCGCGCGGTCGTGGAGCCGCGAAATTCACAAAAACACGAAAAATACCGCAAAATTTGGTAGAAATCTTATCAAATACATGTGTACAACATATTTGAAACTTATTTCAGCTATAGGGGCTATTTACTTGCCATAAACTTGCAAACTTATTTGGAACTTCGTCACTGAAACGTGCAAACAGATTATGTTGCGAAAAACTGGGCACTAGCCATCATGTTAAAGACTTTGCCATTGGTTCATTTCTGGAGCGTATTGTTGTTGAAAGAGCAAATGATGACCTCTGTTAGAAAAACGTTAAAAAGGCTGGTCTGATCAGCGTAAAACCGATCGATTTCTAGCGAAATTTGCCTTGAAAATAACCACAAAATCGGCCGTTTTTTACCGATTGCTTTTCGGTGAAGTTTGCTCCGAAATCTCCCGCGAAATCGGCCGATTTTTCCGCGAATTTGTCCCTAAAAATCCCGCGAAATTTGACTTTTTCGTCCGAGACCTATCAGAAGCCCTGCTAAGAAGGAAGGGTGTACAAATTTCTGTCCCCCTAAAAATGAAAATGTCCCCCAAAATTTTAGCCAAGGGGACAAATTGTCCCCCAGTGATCAAATCCTAGCTCAAACCCTGATAACAAGCTTAAAACTGTAAGGAGTTACATTGTCCACCCGGTTCTCAGCATTCTGACAAACATCTATGTGTGGATACCTTGTTGAGTAGCTCGGAAGCAAAAAAATCACAATCGCTTGGGCGCCATATACCTATGTAGGTAATTCTGGGGGGAAATCACAACGGACCGCTTGACTTAATACGTGAAGGCGCAATCTTTCAAACCAAGCAAAAACTAAAGAAAATGCAGGAGTTCAGGAAGCGTATCGTGACGTCCGCGACTGATCTCTGATCGAGGCTGACTTCTTTTGATATGCATATAGCTTCCGGGAAGCTGGGAAGAAATTTCTGCAGTTTCTCACACCTGCGACCTAATTGCGCTACACGTTTTGATCATTAAGAAGACGTTAAGAAGGCCAGTCAGTTGTTTTTAGCAACTATCGTCAAAACAACCGACACAGCTGATAGGAGGCTAGAATCAACCAGACGTTTTCTTGAAGTACTGTAAGTGCATTTAGTTAGACTAGTAACTCACAGTCAGGAGACAGTATTTTTCTTTGTTTGTTTACGGTGGTAACTGACGAAGCCGTAGCAATATCGTTTTAATTCCCCATATTGATCGAACAGAATTTTTAGAGGAGAACGTACAAATTGATCTCAGATTTTTAGCTGCGCTGAAACATTCAGTTCGACGCCCACTTCATGTAAACCATCTTATAGGTAGGTCTTGCTCAGGTTAATCATTTAAGAGATACCTGTAGATATACCGCGGTGATGGTCAAATCCACCACGTATTAGTCTGACTGACAACTAGTATAGTCTTTCCCCTCGTTCCCGGTTTCATCTGGGTCGAGAGGTTCTTTGGTTAGACATTTCGCTGAACACTAAACCTCTCAATGTGCCAAACAGAAAAGTTATTTATTTATTTAATCTTGAGTTCGTTATTAAGAATAAGGAAAATTAATCATTTCACGGTGAGGTTTAATAGTCAGGGGCACCCAACGAGAACATAGTTCAAAACCACTTAAACAGCATTGTTAAATGTATTTTAGTATTTAAACGGTAGATATGGGCATATTTTTATCCCCTGAAAATTTTTCATCTGTTCGGATTTCTTAGCTGAAAGTCTAGTGATCCGAAAATTATAGAGATAAAAACTTACCTTTTCGACAATTTCAGCCAGAAAAAAGGCTCCCGAAAATTCTAGGTGACCTTTTAAGGGTAAAAATCCGTTAAAAATGGGCAATTATACCATTATTTAGGTGATCGAAAATCCTAGGAGAGGCAAGCAAGCAAGAAATTTTACAACAAATGTTCCGAAAATTCTAGATCTCAAATCGTCTTCCCAACAGATATTTTCCGAAAGTTGACGTTGGGTGCCCCTGAATAGTTACGATTTAAGTCGAGTTGTGGAGTTGAATGTGGAAGGTACTCATTAGGCCCGGTTCAAACGGCTATTTCATTTTGTACCGAACTCAACAGAGTTATAGCTAGACCAAAACTTAATTATCACAATTATGCATCGCGTTCGGCACAATTAAGTGAAGCACGACGACTGAATCAAGGTCGTGCCAACTGATACATTAAGCATAACTTAAGCATGTAAGGGCTTGCCGAGCCCTATTCACCTAGCCTGCGTAGTTAATCATTTCACGGTGAGGTTTAATAGTTACCATTTAAGTCGAGTTGTGAAGTTGAATGTAGAAGGTACTTATTAGACCCGGTTCAAACGGCTGTCTGTTTCATTTTTACCGAACTCAACAGAGTTACAGCTAGACCAAAACATAATTATCACAATTAAGTGAAGCACGACGTCTGAATCAAGGTCGTGCCAACTGATACATTAAGTATAACTTAAGCATGTTAGGGCTTGTGGAGCCCTATTCACCTAGCCTGCGTAGCAGCCGTTAGAGTTGGGGGGTGGGGGTAAGAAACAAAAGGAGGTCGGGAAAAAAGGAGAGGGCAGGCAGGCTATGTTGACCTGGCTGGATGAGTTTGCTTCAGATGTTGTTATTCGGCATAAAGCTTGAAAAAGGCGTTACCTGCATGGGTGTACATTGTCAGTAACCACTACAAGTTGACTGTAGTAAATAAAAAAAGTCTCCCGAACCATGACCGAAAATGAACTTTTAACAGTCTGGACTTTGGCAAAGCATATCAAAGATTTTGAACAATAGACGAATAATTTAGGGGAAAAAAATCATGTCAGAGTTCAGTTTCGCTGACCAAAAATCGTAATCTATTTAGTGCTAGCCAACCTCAACAGAGCTTGACGTTCAATATAATTGTACGACAACGTGTAGAAAGGTTTGTTTCACTTTTTTTCAGCGTGTTCAACCGTCCATGGCGAAGGCGGTAGCAAGTTGCTCCGTACCAGCTGTATCAGCAGGACCCCTCACAACACCAGAGTATAGAAACTGGCTTGCTCTAGGCCATGCGTTGACAACAGTCCTCTGCGAGGGTCTTCGTCCATTTGTTAATAGAGAGGCGGAAGCTTTCTATAGGAATGTGACAGCGGCAGTTGCGGCAATACCTGGAGCGAGACCCTGTACTTGCGTTTACGTCGGGAGAAGGAAGCCCAACCAGTACCACGACATGACTACTTGTGTCTGGGCTAATATCCTTGAGGCTCACCACCATTCACACAAGCCAAACTGGAAACAAAGTGATCCCACTAAATGGATGGATCCGAAGTTGGGTCCCTGGGAGATAGCCAAGCTCTTCCTCCCAGATTTAGGCGGACATGCAATGATTACCAGTGCGCACGATATGGATGTGACCGCTATCTTGAACCTAATGTTTTGGTGTGATCAGTTTACTATTCCTCAGCCCTTAATTAAGGACGTCCGAGAAACTCGAAATGAAAAATGGGTGCACGTACCAAAACTTGAATTATCCAACGCTGACAAGGCAATGGCTTTTGCCAGCATTGAAAAATTGTTACAAGATCCCCAGTTAGCTGGTGACCCGGACACCCAGAACGCTCTTAAGGAAATTGTCAATCTTAAAAGTATTACAGACTTGCATAGTATGGAGGCTCAGGTTTTGGCTGATTTTCAGAAAATTATGAATAACTTGGCACAAGAAACCGAACGAAACAAAGAGGAAGTAAACCAATTAAGAGAGGATGTCAATGTTCTTCAGCAAAGGAACAACGCATTCATAAACAGAGTAAATGCAATGATTGAGCTTTTCGCCGTTCTAACTGGAAATGTCAAAAGGAGTTGCAAAGGAATCGGAAAAAATGTTGCGTTAATGTGGATGGTGTGCTTCTTGTTTTTAGGCTGGTGTCGCGTCTCAAACGATGACACGTTTATAAAAGACGGTATGTTAAATAGTCTATTGTAATATAAGTACAAACTCGAAGATTATAAAACGTTTCCTGTAATTACTCGAGGTTGCGTAGCACCGAGAGTGATAATCTGCAGCCCGTTTTTCTTCATCGCATTTAAAGGGAGGTCGGGATCCTAGGCGTTCCTAGCAGAGACCCTGCAAACCGGGAATAAGAATCGTGAAGACTTTCATTTTTTGCAAATGAGACTCGTGATGAGCATGTGGTTTATTTTCGGCGATGATTAATTGAGGAGATGCGCGCAGTTGATCACGTTCCGGCTTTTTGGCAATGATGTAATTTTCCCCGAATCAAGCGACCTCGAGTTAACACTTTAAGAGTGTCTTGTTATATTAAACAAACTCCGTTCGAAATATACGAGAAAACATCAGTCAGAATCCCACTCCAAAGAAAAAGAATATACCCCACCCCCATTGTAAGAAAAAAACACATGTAACGTAATCTAACAACAATCTGCGGCCTTATAACATGTTGTTGATCATGAGACACTCCATGTTCCTGCTGTGCTATGACCACGGTGAGTGTTCCTAATCATTATTTTGCACGTTTTCTAAACACTTTAAGACCCATTTCGGCTCTTTTGAAACCCCCTTTCTTTGGGGTAAGTAATTACTTTCCTTCCAGGATCGTCTTTCCAGCACGACCAAGTCAAAGCGACATAGCTCACGCTCTAGGTCTCGTTCGGGCTCCAAGCCCTCCTGAACGCTCAAAGACTAATGACGAAGAAAAGGTTTCCCGTCACCTATCTTGAAAATCCTTCAAGGGATCCAGCAGGACTTAAAGTCTACAAAAGAGGGAGTCTCGTCTATGGAAACTTATTGGCAAACAAGCTGCCAAGTTTAGGCGAGACACCAGACGCGATTTCTGTCCTAGCCTACTCGGATGAAGAACTTGTAACCGACCAGGAGGGCTCAATTACGGCTTTTATGCCACCATCTCGGGCTAATGAGCCACCAACCGGAGTTTCAGAACCCCAACGTGAAGTTAGTAAGCCCTCCAACGAAAACGTAATTCAAGCAAACGGGACAACTGAAACGGCCCAACGAATGGCGGTGATCTTTATGATCTGGACTCTCAAAACCCTTCGTGGGAACAAAAAGCGGTTTTTGTATAGAAAAACCTCCGTCTGAAGTTATCTTACGATCAAGTAAGTGATGTCTTTGAAATCTATTCCATCCTGTTCGTGGATCGTTTGTTTGCTCAAATATTAGACAACCCTGTACTCAATCAGATCTCTCCAGCTACCTCTCGAAAGTGTACGCGAGAGAGAGAGATAAAGAGCTAGCCGCTGTGCAGAGGACCATGCTGAACACAACAGACCCCCTTTGTTGTCTGTATGATGCTTTGACATCTCAAAAGGATGTTCCCTTGAAAGGATGTAAAACAACTTGTCGAACAGTCACATTGCCTTTTAGGTTCAGCAAATTATCAATTTTCGACCTTGAGAAGATAACATTAATAAGTATAACATTGGCTTTGCTGACCAGTCTCTCCTCAATGCATGCCTTCCTTCAAAGCAAGCTGACCTATCGAAAGGCCTCGCTAAGAACTTGGGTTCAGCTTCACGGCCATCGAAGCGCCCACGCCCCGGGCCAATGGTTACCCACAACAGGGACAGGCCTTTCACCAGTGCTTACAAAGTCCCCGTACAAAAAATATGCGTCCCTTTCCGGCCTCCAAACCCGAAGCAAAAGAATGGACGCATTCATAGATAAGTGGAGAGAAATAACCTCCGATCCAGAAATCCTAAACATTGTTTTAGTTTTCAAGATTCCGTTGCGTTGCAAACCCGTTCAGAATGCCCACCTAATGAATGCAGAGGTGGAGTCCCCTTGCAAAAGGCGCCATAGTACAAGTCTCCCCCATAAAAGAGGGCTTCTTCAGTCGTCTATTCCTGGTCCCGAAAAGGATGGAGCCTTTCAGCCTGTAAAATACCTGGGTTTTCTAAAAACGTTCGTGGAGAACTCACATTTTCAATTGGAGAATATCTCTTCTCTCAAGTTCTTGCTTCAAAGAGTTAACTATGTCAACACTTTGGATTTAAAGGACGCATACCTGTCGGTCCCGTCCACAGGGACTCTCAAAAGTTTGTATAGTTCCTCTGAAGAAACAAATGCTATGTCTTTCAAGGCCTCTGTTTTGGCTGAAATACTGTTCCAAGGGTTTTTAACAAACTCTTAAAACCAGTAGCAGCCTACTTAAGCAACGTAGTGTTCTTATGATCCTCTATCTGGACAACTTCGTTATCGTGGGTTCGTCTTTTCGGGAAGTACAGCAACACACAGCTATGGTTATACCTCTCTTAGAGCTTGTAGGCTTCAAAAGGAATCAAAAGAAGTCATGCCTAGTCCCAACCCAAGTAATTCCATTCCTGAGTTTTCTCATCGACTCCACTGTAGAGGAGAAAGAGGAGAAAGTTATGAAAATGAAATTCATTTGCAAGAAATCCATTTTATCACCAGCAATGCTTGCTCGCCAGTTGGCAAGTCTACTGGCACTCTAGAGTCCTGTCGCCTAGCAAGTAAGCTCCTCTTCACTTCAGACACCTATGGATTCAACTGATGATCCAGGTTCTGCACGTAACCGGGCAGAATTTGGATGTACCCGTTACGCTAGAGCACAGCTTCCTGCAAGACCTCAAATGCTGGCTATCAAACATCGATCTTGTAAACGGCAGCCCAATCACACCTCCTGCTTCAACTCTGTTTAGTACAACAGATGCATCCAAGACCTGACGGGGTGAAGTCTATCAGGGGCAACGCACAAACTGGCGTTGGTCTGCCCTCAAAGGCACCCAACACATCAATTTACTAGAACCAGTCTCACAAGACTGCCTCAGAATGGAGAACACGACTGCATTGGCCCCTGTAAACAGAAAGGGAGGAACCCGGACCGAAAAGCATCGCACGCGGATGTCCTGAAAATGCACTGTACAACCTTCAAGGGTTACACCTTCCCACCCTTCATCCTTTTCCCTGCTGAACTGAGCAAAGTGCCTCGCAACAAAGCACGATATTAGTTGAACCTCGCTGGCAAGTACAGCTTTGGTGGCCACTCCTCCTGAGTCTCGTGATCGATCATTCAGTCCCTCTCCCGAGCAACAGACAACTTCTGACGGACCCAGTAAATCCCCAAAGGTTACATTCAATGTTCCCCCGATTACACGTAGTCGTGTTTCGAATCTCCAGGGACTGTACCAAGCAGCGAGACGTCGTTACCGAGATGCACCTTGCAACCTCTCGCCCCTCAACACGGAAAACGTATAAATCAGCTCGGCGACGCTGATGTGATAGATGAAAGGCTGATCCTTTCTCAGCACCTTTAGCTTTCACCCTACAGAGTATTTCAACAGTGGAGCAGCTTATCGCTCAGTAAATGTTGCACGCTCAGCTATCTCGACGACTCATTCCAAACTGGACGGCCTTCCTGTGGATCAAAACCCTTTAGTGATCCAGCTACTAAAAGGAATGTTCAGCGATTGTCCCCCGCAGCCTATATACTCCCAGACTTGGGATGTAAGTTGCGTGACTAAATATCTCTTGACGCTCGGGAATAGCCGGTATTTGTCTCTAAAACAATTATTATGGAAGTTAGCTATGTCGTTCGCCCTAACTTTTCCAGAAAGAGTCTACGCACTAACAAAGCTGGATCTACGCTACTGTCCTGTTCTTCCAGAAGGTGTAGAGTTCACATTCTCGCTCCTTGTGAACGGGGCTCGTTTGATCAGATTCCCAAGGCATTATTCGCTCGATTCCCTTCCAACTTCAAACTTTGGCCAGTTGAGACACTGCGATCTTACTTAAAGGAAACACGCGCGATCCGTTCTAGACTGCGAGCAGTCCCTCCAGTCAGTCGAGTCTAAGCTCGGCAGGACTGGAGAGAGCGAATTGGCCGAGAGGGAAACCGCCTCCTCCCCAGCTTCCCCTCGGCTTTCGCTCGCTTCGCTCGATTTCCTCGCTCGCGTGACCATCCTGAGGGACTTCTCGCAGTCTAGATCCGTTCTGCTATCCCTTCCTCCAAAGTGGACCCTCTGTTCATCTCCAACGTGAGTCTACACAGCTCCCTTCTTAGGGAGCTGGCTTCGTCTGCTTCTGAAGGACTCTGGAATCAACACTAATATTTTCAAAGCACACTCTGTGCGTGGAACGTCGATCACTGCAGCGGCTAATTCAAATGTGCCATTATCAGATATTTTAAAGATGGCTGATTGGTCCATTCCTCCTACTTTCCATACAACATTTGCGCTTGCAGATCTTCACTGGGTCTTTTAACAGTCACCTCATCATGCTTACTGTGTCACTTGGAAATTCTGATGAACTCTAGGTCAACATTGCGTTGTGAAGTTTTTTCATTTCCCTTCCTCTTCTCCTTTTAACCATTGTCCCGATAGGGTTACATGAATCTCATTAAAGTATTTGCTGCTATATGTGACCATTTGCCTTTCTATTGGCACTAGCTATATGCGTTGAACTCTACCTGGTGTTTTCTCGTACATTTCGGAGTTTGTGTGATATAATTCCAAATATACCAAGGCTGCGAAGCGGCCTGCCGGTATAAGTGAGATTATATTAACAAACGAGTTGAGAAATATATGAGGACCCACCCACCCTTCCCAGTCGGCAACGTCACCACGTTCATCCTCTGGCAGTGCCAATATTTAGATCAATGGTGTTATCCGTTCACAGCGTTGAAAGAATGGAGGAACAAATTACAACAACATGATATGAGACCGCAGAGAGTTGTGGGATTACGTCACAGGTGGTCTCCTTTTCTTGAGCTATTTTGAAAAAATAGCTCATTTGTCAGTGGTTTGAGCGTATGTATCTTTGTGGCTTTGTGGCTTTGTATGTTCGGATGTTTGTTGCAGGGTCCAATAAGGTTGAAGGTACTATGAGTTGATGCGTAGGAACCAATGAGATTTTGGCACCTAACCGTTAAAGACATTGCCTAAGGTCAAACAAGGGCACTTAGAGACCGCCATCTTGATTCTTCACAATTTTTACGTCTTTTATTTAACAATTAATGAATGAGGCTGAGTATCTTATGAAGAATTATGGAGATCGAGGAGGGTGTTATCTACGGCTTCGACGGATAACACCCTCCGAGATCTCCATAATTCTTCACATGATACGAAAGCCGAATGCAATAATTGTTTTATTATTCATTCAAAATAATTCCTAGTTTAAAAACATGGCTAAAACATGCTTACCTCCATCGATCCATCTATGTTAAGTTCATCTTCGATAGTGCACCTTTAGGTTTGTCCACGTCCGTAAATATTCTCCAAATAGCAGATGTCGCCCTCCGAGTTGTCTTCTTGCTGTTCTTGCTATGTTTTGTAGCTATTTTTTTCGCCTAGTTCTTACTCTTGAAACGAGTGAAAAGTCCGCCATTTTTTGTTTTCACGACCAAAACAACTCAACCTCGTCCCCAGGTCTTCTCGGTTAACGGTGCCTCAACCTACACGAACGCTACATTTTTGACGTCATTTTCTCGTTAAACACAAAATTCTTCCGAATTTGGTCATCAGTAACTGGTTATGGTGAATTATACGTGTGCCTTTAGCCAATCAGAATCGGGGAAATGTTTTGAATGAATAATAATCCAGCTTAAAGTGTTTAGAAGGATAACACTGAAATATATTCATGATTCAAACGCCGAGTACAGTGATGCAGTTGTTGACGGGTTCATATTTTAGTGTGGGTGCTGCTCCAAGACATTCGACCTAATTCGGCTATCGAGAACGGTACAACACACTTATTTCATAATTTATGAGTTCTGTTTCACCTGCTTCAAGGTAGAGTATAAAAGATCAACACATATTTTTCAAAGATCTTCCAGTAAAACAATAATTGAAATGTAGATATGGACTTTAATTGAGAAGTTTGCGGCCTATAAATTGTTGTTTTAGAAGTTTGAAAGGCAAGGTGAGTATTGTTAATCCTGTAAACAAGCTTTATTCTCTTGCTTACAAAGTTCAACAGACCCTTTTCGTACCGGCAAAAGAAAAACATGAATTAGGTGAGGAACATGATACATGCTTGTTGCTTAACAGTTATTATAGTTATGGAAATGTATTTTATTTTATTAGTAACGACGCGTAACTTGAGTCGAAATGGTAGCGGTCAGGGGATTAAATTAAATTATTTGACAAAATAATTACACATTGTTTTATTGAGTGGAATAACATGATATGGGCAGAAATATATTTCGGCAATTTGATAATTTTCTTGCAAGAAAATCAATGTTAGGCTATCAACCTTAACGTTGCATGAGGCATAATTTAATTGCAGATATTGTAAAGCCGAGGTGATTTCTTAAAATCGTTTGAGCAAATGTTCTGGTAAACAATTCGCGTTATTTTACGTACGAATTGTAAAAGGGACAAAGTCCAACACCTTCACGTGCAAATTGTGTACATGAGTTATTTTTATTATCCTGTTTACTGGATCACTGGGTGATAACCTGAATTCCCTCACGTACGAGCCACGAAAGGGGCAAAGTCCAACACTTTCACGTGCAAACTGTGTGACTGTATATCTCATGCAGACTGGCTTTTCACAGTAATAATATTAACTTGAAGGTATGGAGAAGTTAGTTTTATAACTAGTGCCTTAAGTGAATGCTCTTTAAGAATCAATAACTTATAACACTTTTAGAATCAAGTCGTCGGAGTTAAAGACTGTTTCATTAAGTAAAATCGCACGTGACAACCTCGTGAATTATGATGATGCAACCATCTACAACAATGATGAAAATCGTGGCATTTCTTAGCTATTCGGTATTCGACGAGCCTCATTATCTTAAGAAACCTTGAAACCTTCGAGTCTTCCCTCCAAGCAATGTTTGGTGAGTTGATATTCATGGGACTTAAAGAATTTGTTTATTTTGCAAGGGAAGACAAAGAAAAGTGAATCTATAGAATGTGAGGATCAACTCAGCTGTGCGCAGCGGTTCGCGTTTTCATTAATTTACAGCAATACCCAATTTTGCAGAATACGTAGTTTTCATTCAGGATTAAAACAGTAGATTGTTGATACGGTTACACTGAAGCATTCAAAATAGCTCATGCACGTTAAACGTGCCTATGTTCTGCCCCTGGGTGTATACTCTTTTCTTGTATACCGTTAAAGAGTGGGACGTAGCACAATAAGTGGGCTTCTACCCAGTGTTTTCTCGTATATTTCTCACTTGGTTTGTTAATGCAATTTCAATTATTCAGGTAGGCTGCTTCGCGGCCTTGGTATAATCGGGAGTTTGTTTCTTCTTTTAGGATGTGCTCTCAGAATACAACCTGATCTCTGGAACCTTAAGTACTTTGACTTCAGCGAGTTTATCACGTCATCAAGAAAAGGGTTTATTGGAAGACAGTGGTTGTACCAGGAAATGAACCAGATCATGAACGAACAAGATGGAGGTGGTATTCTACTTATTGGAAACCCTGGTTCTGGTAAGACAGCGCTTGTTTGTCATTTGCTTTGTTCCAGAACATCAAGCCCATTCATACATGAACGAATTCTTGGGTATCATTTCTGCATGCATTCGGATAAAGGGACACAAAATGCAGCAAAATTTGTTCGAAATCTTGCAAATATGATTGCTTTGAGAATTGAGGAATACCTTGAAGCAATTTCGAGTGATTCCTTTGTCAGCAAAGTACTGCAAGACAATTGTGGAGGAGAACCAGAGTGGTGTCTTCAGGAAGCAATTATTACACCTCTAAAAAAACTACACCACCAACCGAAAAAACCCTGGTATGTTATTATCGACGCACTGGATGAGTGTGCAGCAGATAAGGCGGAAATTCTGAACATGCTGAAATCAAAAGTTCGACGATTCCCAGTTTGGCTTAAAATGATCATAACCACTCGCAATATGAGTACCATCACCAAAAGTTTTGAAGGATTACAAAGACTCGAGCTACAGCAAGATGACGAACGAAATATAGATGATATTGATAGATATGCCACGGATAGGATATATCCATTGCAAGGCTCAATTATTTCCAAGATAAAAGCATACTTTTCTATCAAGGACAACAACGCACTGTCACAGAGAATTGTTTCCAGCCTTGTTGAGAAGTCTCAAGGAAATTTCTTGTACGTTCGTGTTGTATTAGATGCTTTATCTGCGACAACGGACAGCACAAGATGGACTGAAAACATTCCCAGAACACTCGACAACGTATTTCAATTGTATTTTGAACGAAAATACACAACACGTAATTCCTTCCAATCTTTACGCGAGATATTTGAAGTTCTTGTCGCATCATACAGACCACTATCTGCCCACCAAATCCATTCTGTCCTGCAACTTGACAACCCAACTCTCGACTACGAGTATGATATCATGCCGAAACTGGAAGAAGTATCCTTATTTCTGTGGCATGGATCACGAAATGGCCTTGTACGAATTTACCATGCGTCTTTGGCTGAATGGTTGACTGGAGAAACTAATAAGGGGAAACTTTATTACGTAAAGAAAGAAAATGGCCACAAACGTCTAGCTAAATACTATCTTCAAAATGTCAAACAAATCAAAAAACAGCTTACACCAGAAGAAGCGTTCTATTTAACGCGCCATGTCGTGGAAGGTGGCTTAAACGAACATAAAGTACGCGAATTTCTATCAATTCCTTCTCACTTAATCAACAGCACAGATAAATCCGGTAGCACGGCTCTGCACATAAGTGCACGTTTGGCCCATCCGGACGTTACTGAACTTTTGGTCGAGCATTTCTTACAGGTTGATTGTTTAAACAATGAACATCGCACGTCTGCTTTCGTGTCTGCAAGTGCCGGGTGCCTTGAAAATCTTATCATTCTTGCCTCCAAAGGGGCAAGCCTAAACCACACTGTCAAATGCACAGCTTTTAAGCCATCAAAAAGATCAAAAAATCTCGTTCGTGAGTGTCGGAGAATGGCATGTGAATATTCCCTGTTACACATTGCCGCTCAGGAAGGAAACGTTAACATTGTGGAATTTCTTATTGAACGCAATGCAAATGCAGTGGAAACCACTGGTTGCAATAACACTGCAATCCAACTGGCAGCTAAAAATGGACATCTAGAGGTCGTTGAGGTCCTCAAGAAAACTGGTGGAGTAATGGATGGAGTCTCACTGCATCATGCTGCTGCTGAGGGCCACCAAAGTGTCGTGGACTATCTACTGAATGAAGGTGTGAAAGACACTTGCATAGACGGTAGTTACCTGCTACAAGATAAAACGCAAAATGAGAATCGGAACAACATGCTTGACACTGGCCACTTGAAAACCCTTGAGACAGCTTTGCACGCTGCAGTAAGAAAAGAACATTTGTCTGTGATCAAGGCTCTCTTAAGTCGGCAAGAAAATGCTTTGAGTTGCGCTAACGCTGCAGGAAGACTTCCCCTCCACGAGGCCGTACATTTTAATAACTATAATGCTTTACAAGTGCTTCTGACAGCAGGAGTTAACACTTCTGTGCGTTGCAACGCTGGGGCGTTAGCTGGCCTTCATAAGATTTATTGCCCTTGCGGTTTTACTGCTTTACATATTGCAGCCGCGTATGGCCATTACAGCGTTGCCAAATTACTAATTGAACATAACGCAGATGTTAATGTTCCAGACTGTGATGGATCAACTCCACTTCATATTGCCTCGTGCCACGGGAAGATGTCTCTTATAAAACTTCTTGTTCAGAGTGGAGCGAACATCAATCAACGAACTACGAACTTTTCAACACCTCTTCACAGTGCGGCTGCTTGTCTTGCGACAAGCAGTTTCTGCACTTTACTTGAACTAGGCAGCAACTACTCTGCTCAAGACAACAAGAACATGACGGTATTACATTACCTTTTCAATAACATTAAAGTTATTGGAAGAGAATATTTTGTTGATTTGTATGTTGACAGGCCGATAAACTGGATTGAAGCGCTGACGGAAAAGGAGCCGTGGGAAAAAGGTGACTTACAATATACCTGGCTGAATGCTCTTATACGAATAACGCACAGTTTATCGGCCAATGTAAAAGAAAGGCTATTATCCAGTTTGCCCGAAGGCTATCTGTTAAGAAAAGCATACTTTGAAGTTCTTTACCTACTAGAAGAAAAAAGCAACGCTTCATTTCTCCTTACCGGCATTGGTAGCTACGGTGAAACATATTTGATAACAATGGCAACTCCACAAGTTTTTCTTTATGATTTAATTTTTCACAACGCGATGAAAAGTGCCGGTATACCGTTTCTTCCAAAATTGTTGACGAAAACGTTTTTAAAGACACTCTCGATGCTTTTTCCACGAGCATTGAACTGCTCACTTCTTACTTTTTCAATTCAACGGAATGCGGTTCGTTTTGCAAACTGGTATTTGAAAGCAGGTGTGGATGTCAATTGCCTGGATCACTCAGGCGTAAACCCTCTTTTAACCTACTTACGACGTGGTGGGCGTCACATGTCAAAGGTCCTTGCAAGGTATAAAGTGAGAATGGATATTTCTTGTGGAGTACCTTTTAAAAATTCAACCTTACACCTTGCCTCTTACCACAAGTTGCATTACTTACATTACCTTTATGAGTACTTGCGAGGTGACGACGAATGGTCCAAATTCATAGCATCAATTGATTCTCTATTCGACTACTTTTTAGATGAGTACAAGGAGGTTCAGGAGTTTCGCGGTTCATCAAAAGTTGTTCGGACTGGTGATGGTCAATTGGCCTTAGCGATTAAGTCTCATACTTTCGGCACCAAAGTCATCCTCGATGGCTGTTTTGATACGGGAGGCTATAATGCGCTACACAGAGCAGCACAAGGCGCAAACGTAATTGCTATTGAAAGGTTCCTCGCTTGGGGAGCTAACCCATCCTTGAAGAATGCAGCTGGCTTTTCTCCCCTTTGGCTTTCAGTGCTGTATTCAATTAAATACACACCATTTCTCAGCTTCAGTAACGAAAACATTGTAACTGGTTTAGAACTAGATCTTGCATCAACCTCAGCCTCCTTGATTCTGGATCGTCTTATCGAGTTTGAAACAGTGAATATCGGCTGCAATGAAAACAGCCCAGACTTGACCTTGTATCACCTCGCGGCCATTCGAGGGATGTGGCGGTTTGTACTTCACTTGCTTTCGCAGAAAGAATTAACAGGAGTGGACGTAAACTGTCCCAACAGAGATGGTATAACTCCAATGTACTTGGCAAAGCTTGTCGGTGGTGACAGTTGTGGCTGGGGCAGCCCCTGGTGCAAAGTCGTGGAAACCATTGAGAGGTTTGGTGGAAAACTCCGCTTTCCCAATCTAGAGGCCGAATACGTTCTCTTCTTTTATCTCTTCTATGGAGTAAGTCCAGGCAACGTGTCACTCGAGTTACCAGAACATGATGTATCAACCCTTCAATACGATTGTGAGCGTGAAGAATGTCTGAAATATCATAACGGTCATACCAATCTTGACGAGTCATCTATTCAACTTGACTGGGCCTACAGAGATTACAGAAAACAAGTAGACGGGTGCGAACTTAACGTTAATAGTGGAAGATGTCTGCCCGAGATTGATCGGGATTTGTCTCATTTTCAGTCCGTAATGCCTGCTGTTTCTAATTACCAGTCCTTGAAATTTGAACACATTTCTGCCAGTACAAGTTTTTCATTCTTACTCGATATCGAGAGAAATCGTATACTATCAATTTTGTCGAAAGTCACCGGGCCGGGCTCAAGGAGGCAAAGACCTAACGATGAAAATACCCGAAGATCATCAACATTCAGTTCCAGCAAAGACGAAAACCAACAAAGAACAACAAACACATTTAACGAAAACAGCCAAACGACTAGAGAAAGGGAAAAAGCTACGAAGTGCTGCGAAGAAAGCCAACAAAAAGAGGAATCTGACTGTACATTTCATCGTCACGGTTCTCTCCGCACGCATTTTGAGCAGTTCCAGGACAGTGCTGTTCGGTTGATGAAACGTTCAAAGCAAACAAGATCAGTTATGTTTGCAAGGGGAAACTTTCCTCGTGTACTATCAAGAGTTGATCACGCTTTGTATAATTATCATATAGCTTCTTATTGTGACTGGCAAGCCAATACGGCTAAGTATATCATACTTAAGTTCCAAATTTGGAACTTAAATTTCTTCGCTAAAAATAACTTCGTGAAAGAAAATTCCAGATTGGTGAGTATCTCAGACTTCGCATCATCTCGCATAAGAAAAGTCTTGACTGGATCATCCGAAGATTTACTGAAACTTGTTTTACGACTCGTTTCTAAAGAGAAATTTGATCACTTCAATTATCTGACAATTTTGAAATTTAAGAAGCCGCCTTTGTGGAAAGGTACTTATGATGCTTGGGAGTTTTGAAAGTGATGCGGGCAAAATCACACCAATTGATTTAAACTACGGAAGATATAAAAACAGTACAATACTTCTTATCCCGTGCAGATTGTTATGGTGGTCGGGGTAACGTAAGGTTTTAAATGACACTTGTCAATTGTTGTAAAGATATACTTATTGGTAGTTAGAGGTTGTCTATAAATCCGAACAGAACAGATAGCTTTGCTGTATACAGTAGCGGAATAACAAAAATGAAAGAGGTCCCCCTCCTTTTATCCCTAAACCATTTTTATTCCTTTCTCAATAAAGTAGATCGAATCAAGCTTCTTGACATTGTCTCTTCAACGAATCCTGTAGGTCCTAATTCCCCTTTACAATTCAACCAAAGCTAAATAGGAGGGAATAATGAAGACATTATATTTGATTTGCGAGCTTTAAGTTGAATTTTGTGGTGACATTGGATGCTGATCCCTTATGAGACACAACATAAAAAATGCAATTGAAAATTAGCCTACCAAGCAGTGCTTGCAGTTGGTAGGCAGGCTCTTGATAATGTTTTGGGTGTGCTGGGAAACTGTGAAAAATAGGTTATCCAAGAACCGGCAAGCATCTGACAAAATCCGCGACCGAAATTAAATCTACAGCGGTTCTGGTTCATCAAAGGTTTCTCTGAACCACTTTGTCGTTGCCTACAACAGCATGGCGTACGATCTGTTTTCAAAATCGACACAACACTAAGATCGCACTTAGTGCGACCTAAGGATCCTGTGGATCCACGAAAACAAGATGGAGTAGTGTATAAGATTCCTTGTGAATGCGGCAAAGTATACATTGGCGAAACGGGAAGGTGCATGCATGAACGGATTAAAGAGCACGATAGAGATATACGGCTTTCACGAACTCAAACAACTGCCCTTTCTGAACACGAACACGCCAATAAGACCGGTCATTATCCCCTCTGGGAGAAGTTAAGTTAATTGACCGAGAGCCTTACTAGTACTCTGGTAGAGTTAAGGAGGCTATTCACACAAGCTGGTTTCCACTAGCGATGGAGTCGGAGTCGTAAGAGCGCATATGACCTAGTGAAAATCAACAACCGGAATCGTAAGCGGAGTCATAAGCGCGACGAAATCGGAGTCAGAAGAATCAGAACGTTTCCATTTCTAACGCTCCGCTTATCATCTAGTGAAAACCAGATTGTCGGAGCCGGAAGCAGAAACGGAAGGATAAACCAATCACAATGCCCGTTCCCACGCTTTGTGATTGGCTTAGTTCCTCCGCTTCTGCTTCCGACTCCGACTATCAGGTTTTCACTAGATCATAAGCGGAACCTAAGCGACGGAGTCGTGAGCGGAATCAGAACGCTGTTTTCACTAGATCATACACTTGACGCTTATGATTACGACTCCGACTCCGTCGCTAGTGAAAACCAGCCTTCACCCTAACAACATCAAAAGGAACAGTGGAATTGAAATTCCTGAAGGGTGAATGTCTACAATCAGACAACATGACAACCGATCTCTACTACAGCGGACCGCTGAGGGATCAGTTTCTTCCTCTCACAATGCCAACAATGCTTTGGATCGAAACCCACCAACCATGAGCGAGGTTTGTAATCCACCAATCACTAACAACCACGGTGGTACACATAGTTCGACTCAGTAAATCGACACTATTGCTTAATGAAGACCTGCAATGGCGGTCGAAACGTCGTGATCAATACCAAAGTGACAATCGTACGTGAGACAAACGATAAAACTGAACACTTTATACAAATAGGTTATTGTTATCTCTTAAAGAGTGGTCCTGTCTCCAGTAGAAGACGTAAAAATAGTGTCCTCAATCTGTACTTTCGGCCTGAGTACATTGACACTCAAATAAAATACGTTTGTTGTTCCTGTTTTTTGTTTAACATCTGACTCATCGCCAGGCCGCGCTATCACGAAAAAAAAAAGAGCGCAAGGTATCATGGGAACAATGAAAAACGCGAACAACTAAGCACAACGAGCGCCCTGCAAGAGCAAGGAGAAAAAGCGCGGGAACGTGGTTTATGCCAAGTGCGAATTTCAATCTGTAGCAATTGGTTTATTGTCTGCGGTTCCGTTTACATGGTAGAGGGAAAAACGATTACTAAAAGTATTACTGAAGATTACTGAAAAGTAACGCAAAGGACCAATTTTCCAATAGAGACCCTTAACAGGCTCCTTCCCCGCACCCCCGGGACGTCTCATCCCGCTACAGCACCAATCACCAAGTTAAAAGAACCATATAATTTATAAAAATCCACTTTCACTATTTATAAGGCTCATTTTGACGACCAAATGGAAAATAATATGAAATTTAGGACTCATTCAATAATAAACTCACATTTTCTGTATTCCCACTCCCTAACAACCGTATAGCGATTAAACCTGAGTTCACTTAAGAAATGCATTATAGTATAGTACTCCATGAACAATGAATGAATGAAGTCACGTTGTGCCTCTCGTTAATTTTTGGCCAGTCAGGCATACGCAATTTCCTTAAACGGAAACAGCTGTAAGATTCTATCACAGGCGTCACTGTAGCTACCACACAACGGTCTCTATAGATGCATGACATGCTGACTAAAGCATGCAATCATCTACCTAAAATCGCAATTTGGAACTGAGAAATAGCCATCATGCAGTGTAAGTGTCAGTGATAGCTGCCAATTGAATTAAATACCTTGATAAACACGTGAACGCGGAAGAATTGGGTTTTGACTAATATGTGCATATGCACCTAGGGAAGGGTCCTTGGTAAGACATGCTTAATACATTTGTTTGCATCGTTGCGTTTCCCTAGATTTTCCCAGACTGGAGTGATACTATGGCTTGTAAATTTGCTTGTTTAGTGGTGAACGTGAGGACTATCATGTGAGTTTCAAATTTATACTCGCCGCTCGTGTAGTGCTTCGTCGGGATGATTTCACTACTGAGCATCTGTTGTGTCTACTTCACGGAAAACGATGGCGAACATCTCGGGCGAGCTTGTTGTGAAATAAATTTTTCCAGGATCACTCAGACTGTTCTATTCATCTGACATAGTTGGCTACTTCGGAAAAGAGTTGCCCATACACAACCGTTAGATGTATCTATTTTACAACGCTGTCAATTATAGAGAAGAATTCCGCTCAGAACGGTGGTTGTTTTTGCTGTTCACCTAACTGACGGGTCCATCTTAACAGATGTCCACCCTAGGGAGTTCTGCTTCCGCAACACAAGCGTCAGCCTTGGGCAAGGTTCTGTTTTCCATCAGACCATATACACTGGGACATTGCGTCTCTATACTTATGTAACTGAGTCTCGAATGATCCGCGAACGTTAAAATTGCTCAAACGTCAACATGTAAGTTATTATCACTGGACAACAACTTTATAAAATGTTGGAATGTTGATGACTGAGATTGCTTTGGTGATAAGTTGGTTTATACTCATGACCAGCATGACCAACTTGTGTTGAGCCTCTGAGCAGAAAAAAACACAGTTATCTTAGCTGCTCAAGAGGAAACGTTTAGCATCGTCTCACTGAAGTCAAAAATTGATTCTGTGCTGTAATGGCTCCCTTTAATCTTGATTTTTACCACTTGGCTCGCTAACAACATCTGACAACCTCCTTCACTGGGAAAGATGTCAGCCCTTTCTCCACTCTTTTCTGCTACCATTTAACACTTTTTCCAGCAGAGGTGCTCCGTTGTGCTCTAGCAGACCAATTTCTCCGAAACTTGGGAGATTCCTTCTTTTGTCTGTAAGAGGATCCCGCTCGTTTAAACGGAATGGGAATGAAAATGTTTTTTCCACCCGTCGCACCACCAGACAAAGAACTCATGGAAGATGAGAGAGACGACGAATGTGCTTTCCTTACATCTTCGGTGCTGGAACTCAGATTTATTGGTTTAATAGACGCCACAGAACATGAACGTTGAGTTTTTTCGTCAAATGATGCGCCATAAACTTCCAAGACGGCTTCCAAGAACTTCATGAAAAGCTGAGCACGATTTGCTTGGCCGCTATGTTCCTGAAAATGAACAATAGTCACAGGAGACTAGTACCAAGTGGCTATTGTGTATTTTTAAATTAAGGGAGGTTGGTATACCACGATGTTGGCGCCCACAGGAAGTAAGCTATCATAATATCCAAAAAAAGGCACGGAGTCGTTATTTTTGCCGCTTCCATTCCTTTAACACCAAGACTGGCTTCACCCGTAATCAGTTTCCCCTTAACGGAAAACAAGTTAATATTTACCAGGTACGAGTCCTGAATACAGATAACTGAAAAGGGATTCGCCGTCCATGCATGGTTCAGAACTGTGAACATATTTATATTAATCGATGGAGAAATCGAGTATCAGAGGAAACCAAAGGGCATATTTTTTTAGGCAAATTTCAAAAATCCAACAGTACCAAAGGAGATAATTGCTGTATAATGGCTCTTCTCAAAGACTTACCAACATGATTATTCACTTTGGCCCCATCTACAAGTATCCGAATATTTTTGAAAACGTGTCCACCTGTAGTGTATTCGAATCGTTTTTGCCTGTACATACGAAAACGCTAAAACGATGGAAATACGACAGCATCCCTCACAGAGCATGCTTAATGCTAGCAGCATAATTACGACTTATTACATCATCGTATTCAAAAACCTCCCTTTTCGACCGTCCATAAATAAAAGAGAAGCCAGCGTTTTCAAAAATCTCCACTCTGGAGAGCGTTTTTGAAAAGATGCGTTTTAGGTGACCGTTTTCACCGGATGGCAAAAACGGATACGTGTTAACGGGCCCTTTGATGTCAAAAACAACTCTTACCCTGAACTTTGTAAAATGACAGAATCCCGAAAATCCGAAAGCTGTAAAACGAGAAAAAGAATTCTTGTAAGTAAGCAAAACAAGAAAAAGTTACGTGTCAGTTGTATCGTTTTCCATTGAAACAAACAGTTATAACGGAGGGATGGGTCACCAAGGGAGCTATAAAAACATTTTACGAGACTGAATTAGGCTGTGCGTATTACATGACATTGCGCGGTCTCACCTTTGTTACCTTTAAACCTCCCCATAACAGCTACCTCGGAGACAAATGGGAAAGGCCGTTGTAAAGAAGGCAAAACAAGACAATGCGTTTGCTAAAATAGAAAAAATGTGGTTGTCGTAGACGGGTGGCAGTTGTAGAGGTTCGATGTAGGTTTAAAGCCAAAGTTAAGACAGCTAAATTTATCTATTTACCACCAAATTCAGCTTGTAAATTTAAATAGCGAAACATAACCCCCCAACAAAATAACAAAAGTCTAATGGACACTTGGGCTTTTTATTACTTCGCTTCGTTTTCTCCACCAAACAGAAGTAGAAGTCAAACCACAATAATAGCTACTTTCTCCTAGCGTTTTCTGCGGTTGGAGTCTGCTGTCATTATAACGGTTGACTGCTTTGGTTTCAGTTCTAGGTTGAAGACACCAGATTAAAAACGTCAGTCAAATACAGCTTCACCAATTAGTCCACCACCCACCCCTCTGTGCAAGGCTAGTCTTGTGTGGGAGGTCCGGCTATATATTCTCTATATCAGTAGCAATGCATTTAACGGTTTTTATTCTCTCTACTACACTATCTCACTCACTTGAGAGGTAACTGGGTTTAATGGCTTGGTCGTCAGCCTGTTTCAAAGCACTCATAGAACGTACAATGGTCTGTATCGCCTTTAATGTCGCTACATCGTCTGAGTGGCCAAGAACAATGGAAAGATCCGAGTCCAGGAGAGGATAACTAAAGGGACGGAAAGACAAGGAAGGGCTTAAAATATATATTTAAAGAGGATGGAACCGTTACGTATTCAGCCAACTCTCTCTAAGGGGCTGTTTACATAGAGGAGGGGGGACCCCAGGTAGGTGAAGTAACCGGCTTAGGTGGGGTAATCTGCCTGTCCTTGATCACCCCACCCATGATGTAAACGTGATCAAATTAGAATGAAAGATTATATGGACAGGCGGTTTACTCCACCTACCTGGAGTCCCCCACCTCCATGTAAACAGGCCCTAACACGGACCCTGTTGTAACAGGCATTAAGCATCAAAGCAAATTTAATGTTCTAAGAATGAAAATACCAGCGGGTATGGATAGACATCAGACTTAATAGAGGTGTACGTTACGATACAGTTGACTGTATAGCGGTATGGACATAACCATTTTCAACCTAGCCTGAGTGCCAAAAGTTCTGTTATCATTCGCCTGTGGCGGGAAACTTCGGTGTCGGTCGCAGGCCGAAGCTCCGAGAAAATAAAGACTTGATGGAGACCGAAAACCGCGCATCTCTGGTACCCAACGTACTTTCAACCATGGGCTTAAGCAATGCTGCGAAGTTTCGTAAAAACACAACGAGGAATGTACGCCATGTGACAAAATGCGTTCAAGGATACACTTCTTTGTAATAATTGGAATATCCAAGTTCTCACATTTCTACGAGGGTCTAATAGATTTAGGGCCTTCGTAAATTTGCTAAGTTATTGGTGAAAAATTGCAAAACGAAGATAACTGAAAAAAGTGGAACGAAACTAAATCAATCACGCGTTCAGAATTTAAAGTGAAAATTAATGCTTCCAGCCATCTAATGCGGAATACTTAATATGTTACAAATGTGACTGGTTAAGTAAAAGAACTTACATAACAGGAAAAACTCCAGGAAAAACTAGGCTGGCCTCGGCGAGAACCTCGTACAAAAAGCGAGTTTCAGCATCACCCGTTATGTGTTCCAGTAGAATTGCCTGCAAAGAGTACACAGTTGGTGATAAGATTTTACTAAAATACACCACACGATAAACCAAGGCATCATTGTCAACGTAACTCCAAGGTTAGGAAAATTTTAATTCATTCATTTTAAGTTCGACACGCAAATGTCAGCTTTAATTACAACAGTGTATAACTTACCTTATTAATAATTAAGTCTATAAAGGGAACAATACAATGGGTTAAAAAGTGACTGCTTTCATAGTAAAAATATATTACGTTACTCCCGTTTCCACCTTTTATTAGTTGTAGCGGAAACCAAAGTCAAACAAAAGTAACGCAAACTGCCGTCACAGAGGATGACGAGACTTTGAACGAGTCGTTGTATATTTGAAAAAGTATAACTGCTACGTTATCGAGACGAAAACGTTAGTTCACTAAATGCGTTACAATGTTTTTTTTTTTGACATTACCAGAGTGGTTAGCAAAAGGGCCTGGGTCTGAGTGTCGTTCACGATCCCAGGGTTTAAGAGCGTGTTCTGACATTCCGTGGGCCAAACAAAGCGATGATCATTAGGATCATCGTTCGGAGAAGACGAAGACGCAGTAGTGATGACAATAGACACTTGGGAGTCTAAGGAAGTCGCACTGCCAGCCATGCTGCTGTTCTCTAATTTTCCCGGGTACGGTGGCGTGGAGCTGTCTGGTTCTTTTGGGTTTCCGGGGCGGAGATTGGAACGGACTTCCTCTGAGACCGGTAACAAAGCTGAAGAGGAAACAACAGAGCATCACAGTTCAAGTAATCACTTTGACCAATCAGAGTGGTGTCAATTCCCGCCAATGAACAAGAGTGGGAAAACACATGTGAGCAATTATAATTAGTTTTGGCTTTTGATTGGCTGATAAAATGAAGAGAATTATCTCAGCCAATCAGCAATTGCGGCCAAGTTATTAAAAAATATATTAAGCCCTGATGAGGCAGACGCGTTTTGGTGACCAAGCGTACTTGCAAGAAGACGCAAATGCCATTGCGTGCACATCTAAGCCAAAACGATTTACATCAAATTCGTCATGTGTGGATAAGTGTGTGTCTATACTTGATTGTGGACGAAGTGCTGAAAGCCATCACCTATTTTTAATTATTTACCAATAACAGGAATGTATATCTTCCCTTAACTTACCAGCCAGATAAGCAAGATTTTCTTTGTTGACTACAAAGGAACCACGGCTGAAATGAAATTAAGATTTCTTAGCATCAAATACGCGACTACCAAATAAATTAAAAATGCCAATGGGTATAATAAAATATTGAGAAATCGCACCGAAGAGCCACTTATACGAGGAAAAAAATGTCTTACATGAAACGCGAAATTCCCGTATAAATGACACATTTTGTCTGAACTAAGACACGTATTATCTAAGACGAAGAAAACCTCGTATAAGTGAACTTCGCGTCTTATTTAAGACGTGAACGCATAGTGCGCACGCGTTATTTTAACATCCGTAATGTTGGATTGCCACAGTTAATAGCAAGATTCACGCGAAAACAGCGATCCCTGATCGAAATAAGACGCGAGCCATATGCGAGCTGTTTGCGTCTTATTCAAGACATGCTCGTATAAACGATACAGTTTGCGCCTCAACTAAGACTTGTCTTATTTTTCTTCCAATAAAAGGCCTCAATAAACTGTAACCATAGTTACCTAGTCTTACGTTTACTTGTGATATCATCCATCAAGTTCAGAATACGTATAGCTCGCGCCGACGATGTTGCCTGAGGATGATAGACTCCTACAAAAGAATTTGCGCAGTTTCATAATAGGAAAACTTTGACTTCTTATACTAACAAAGTTAGAACATTCTGAAGTCCCCAACCCCTTCTCTAATGAGCACTTAATCCCAGGAATGGGTATCACCTAAACATAAGAGAAACCTTGCCTGGTCCCTTGGCCTTATTATTCCGCGCGGCCAATGCGTTTCGGGTCACGTGGTCCAAGCGAAGGCTGAGTGCCCGTTCACCTCGGATACGTCACCGAAGTGAATTGACCGAGAAGGCCTTGGGAAAATGCCGTGCAGGGACTACGCAAAGAGAAACAAATACACATAAATCCTAGCCACGTACAAAAAATTGCAAAATTTATATCATGAAACAAAGAAAATTGAAAAATGTCAAATAGAAATTACTTAGGAAAAAAAGGCTATTTCAAAAATTCCAGAAACGACATATGTTATCCTAGGGGTAATTGATGGTTACTATTCCAAAAAATTGGAGATTTTTAGAGTTAAAAAGCCGATGTACCCGTGAATTGAAACCCCTTAAACTAAAACCCGTGACTTCGTTACTTTAAGCCAGGCAAATTTATTCATATAAGTTTTTTTTCTTATCTGATAACAAGCGCATGCTATGGGGTGTACAACCAAAAGCATATGCAAGATAATACCTTCGCTCCTCGACTCTTCTACGTGACATGATTCAAAGTTGTTCCTAATTATTATTCATTTAAAACGTTTCGCCGTTTCCGATTGGCTCAAAGCAGTATAGCACCGATTCAAAGGTACGCTGGCTTGGAAACGAGGTTTGATCGATGGTATATTGGCCTGGAAACGAGCCTGCATAAGCAAAATCGATCATCGATCAACTTCCTTTTCCAGGCGTGGCCGCTAGCTGTCTATCAACGTGTAAAAAAAAAAAAAAAACAGCTGAATTTGGGACTAAAACTGTACGGAAGAAATGCAAGAATACCCAAAATATATTGCTCGATGGATGTTAATTAGTTATCTACTTTTCGAGGAGTAACTTCAAGAAAAACATTTGTTTACATCCTGAAATAGTGCCGAGAAATAGGCTAAAGTTTAAAAGAAAGCTTTTTAAGAACTATTTTGAATGAATAACAACACAGTTATTAAAATTCCACACCTTTCGTATAAGGTGAAGAATTAAGCAGATCTCGGAGGCAGTTATCCGCCTCAGTCCGCGATAGTTCTTCACATCATACTCAGCCTCATTCAATAATTTTTAATTAATAAAGAATCGTCCCCTGCAGGAGGCTGGTTATTATTACCTTTAACAAGATGCACCATCAATGCAAAGTGGAAGTTGTTTGAAAAGTTAAGACCAACGAAATGATCCATTTGCTTACAGTGAAACTCCAGTAAGGGTTCCTTCCTCACAGCCATAAGCACTTTATCTACCGGCTACAAAAAATTACAACATTATAAGGTTATTCTTTTTTATTGCATTGTGCATCCCTCCTGCGCAAATTACACGCGTGATTAGCGTGTGCGCATTTACACAGGGCGGCTTTTCCCATAAGGCTGGAGCTCCCCAGAGAGGTGGTAAATCCTCAAGTAACTTTCTTTCACTAAAATGAATTTAGACTAACTCCCAGACCGGAAAAAAAAAAACAGCAACAAAAGACAATCGCCGGAAACATGTTCAAAGCATGTGCTCGTATATATACATCGTATTGGTATTTTGTAGGAATTATTGTGTATCTACAAGTTCTGCTTCTCCCAAACGAGTATAGGGGCCCAACGACTTCATTTTAAAAATTACGTTACTACAACATAAACAACCAATCGGTAAAGTTTGACAAAAATCTAACTACAGGTTCTATTTCAGAGGAATGAAGTTAAAACGTTTCGTCGTATAAAATACAGAGAAACTTTCCAGTAATTCTGCAACGAGAAAAAAAATTGCTTTACCAAAGCGCATTCCTAACTCAATGAGTTCGTTAATCAAGAAAGAGTTGGGCGCGATAGGTAGCGTGGCCGAGTGGTCTAAGGCGCTGGTTTTAGGCACCAGTCATTTCGATGGCGTGGGTTCGAATCCCACCGCTGCCAAGTCTTCCCTTTTTTCCGTCTTTTAAGACGAAAATGGTAAATTGAGAAATACATAACCCAGGACAAAATCGACTAAAATTTTCAACAAACCTGTGATTCGAAGGCGCCATGTGTTTCAAGCGTTATGAGAGTTTGCTCCAGAAGAGCAAGGCCACAAGGATACAGTGATACTTCCGACAGCTGCAACGACAAAAGTTCTTTAGTACATTCCAAACGCTGTGATTTAATGCTGAAATGAAGCTACCATCAAACTCCATTTTGGTCAATACTGACTAGTTAACAGTTATTATTTGTCTTTACCTGAAGCACTGCCACTGCAATCCAGAAGAATGCTTTATGATACTTGGAATCCTAGAAAGAGAAAACGGTGGATACACTTGACAACAATTATAGTTTGATGTGTGGTCTACTGGTGGGGAGTGTTGAAAAACAGAAAGCCCATCTACCCCATGACGAGTTCAGTTCCAAAGTCAATAAAGATGACACAAGGCAGCGCTAACTTTTGAGTCTGTGGAACTACAACGCTAAATCAAAAGTTAGGAAATTATATGGCAAAGGGGGCGGGAGTGCCAGTTGCGCTGACAATGTCAGAAATACTGTACAAAATTCACCATTTCAGGTAATTTTTAGACATGTTTTCTCCATCATAGACCTGACTGTATAATGCCACAAAAAAATCGATGAATACTTCACTTACCTTGCTGAGTATGACTTGAAGTCTTGAGAGGCACATTAACGAAGCTTCTATTAACACGAGATCACTGTATGTACTCAGTGCCTAAAAAGACAATCCATTCACATTTTAAGTGTGTCAAAAAAACTGGTATAGAAACAAATTAAGCAGGGAAAACACAACCTTGTGAACTTCCGTTTTCTCTATACTAGTATTCACAAAGATTAAGCCAGGCCATTTAACGTAAACAGGAACAACGCAAATACCTACCATGATCAACACTTCTAGAACACCCCGTATGAGCCTGTCATTCGCTTCTTTGCAGATACAACCAAGTACTACGAGGGAGCGAGGCTGAAGTGCGGGATTGAAGTCAAAAGCAAATCTGTAGACCAAACAAGAGGAAAAAACCACGAAATTATCTTGAAATTATCTCGGAATGGTCTCTAGTGATAAGACTTAGTAAAACAAAGAAATCTAATGAACCTGGTGAACCACAACAACCCCCGATATGAGTAAAACAAACTGATAAGATCTTTATTTTAAAGGAGCAAACATCGGACTTGGCTCCAGTGCCGAGAGTGGGAAATAGCACAGGTTGCCATTTCATTTTTCTCTTGAATGTTTTGAACTGAAAAATCAACACAAATATATATATCTACGTTTTGTTTTTAAATCGTAAAAAAACTATATAACTGGTGACAAAAGAGCAGCATAATACTACTTAACTGTAAGCGGGGTAGCGTGGCCGAGTGGTCTAAGGCGCTGGTTTTAGGCACCAGCCATTTCGATGGCGTGGGTTCGAATCCCACCGCTGCCATAAATTTTGCTTCCAACGATATTTTTTTTCTTGTTTACATGAAATCGATCCGCTTTTCTATATGCGTAATATAATTAACTCAAGACGTAAATTTTCAGAAGAGTAAGCGATATTCTTGTTTTCCTTTCAACTTGAATACATTACGTTATGGACGTAAGAGAAGTAATGACAAAATAGGGCCGGAAAATGTTATATCTGTAATAGGTAGTACTCTTATCCGTTACGATTTCGTTTCATCTACCAGCTTGTTTTATGGACGTTAACCATTTAAGAGTAGCTTAGACGTAGGGAGAATAGGTTCGACTGATCTGAGGATTGCTAGTGGACGGGTCAAAGATCACAGTTACACATTTGACCATAAAAACCGTGAGTGTTTGCGTCAAATCATAAATATCGAATGTTTTAAAATTTTTACAAAATATGCGTAGAAAACCTAGGAAAAACCAGACGTTTCAAGGGTTGCCTCGTACCCAGACGTCTCTCTCTCGATGAACATGTGCGTGCAAAGGAAGGCGGGAAGGACAAGGATGCTCCCTGTTCCCAAATGGTTTAAAAGCAACTGAAAATGCACGCACAATTTAACGTTCAAGTGAAATTCAAAACATAGACGTAACTTTACATGCGCGCGCTGACTTTGAGAAGTTCAAATCAAATCAAATTAACATCCACATTCAGACCAGCTGGCACCAGTGTCTGGTGTCTGAATATCAAAACTGCGCCTTTCCGTCGCACTGCCGAAGCCAGAACGGATCACCGATACCAACATGTCGCCGACCTTGTGACCAGGGTGTGCAGCGTAATGTTTCCTAAATCGGTCTCCTTAGCGTCTCCCAGTTTCTCCGATGTACACTTTGTTACAGGTCCGGTATGTTAAGGCATTAACCACCGGACCTGCATATTTTGCAAAAATTTAGAAAAAACACTTGGTTAGATGCGTTGCACGTTTTTTTTTCATAATTATTCATGGTGCACTAAAACAATAAAATTGGTTTTTAGTTCGCGTTTGTTTTGTTTGCGTTCAGCATGGTCATTTAATACGTACCAATTAAACGATAAGACAGGCCAATGTGATTTATACTTCGCAAAAAAATGTACTCACTTTGTGGCCAATTCTGTCCACTTCCTTAGCCACGTGCACTCTGGCAAGTCTGTCATACAACTCTGTAAAGAAAACAAACTTTCAAAAATCAGCCAGCTATTAGTTGATTATAGAGACCACAATCCCAGACATTGTTGGACACATCCCAATGAGTCGCTTCGCAATGTTGACAGCAAAGACATCATTTCATTTAAAGAGGCTTTCGAGGATGACGAGGATATTGGTGTTCTGGGTCAGTTTTTGTGCTGAAATCATTACTAGTGCCTTTGCCAATACAAAAAATGCTCCCTCTGTAGAGTTACATTTGCATGAAGAGGATGTCAAACAGGATGCTTCTATAAGATATCTTTGATTTTATGAAGAAGCACTATCCATAAGATTTTTTGATATTTTTTTCAAGCAGAGCATTAAAACTTTTTAAAGTTTCAATCCATGTTCATTCTTGCCATCCATAGCAACAGACCGCGACAGGAAACAGTTTCAGTGCCTAAACATAGTTTTAAATAAAAAAAACTGGACCACTGTTATTGAAACTTTAGTGGACGCGAAAAAAAGGTTTAGCTTTTTGAAAAGAAATCAAATAGCCTGACATAGCCCTTTTCAGGCTGAGGGATTACAATGTTACTCATAGGGTGAGGTGCTCCGACCTTAACAACATTGCTCGATACTTAAGTTGATTGCTAACGCAAGAGCTGCTTGACAGAATTCGCTTGAAAAGTACAATTTTAAAAAGGTATGACTTTACCCTAAAGGCCTTGGGAAGATGCAAAGGTGGAAGATACAGTCTTGAACAAAAGTTTACGAAAAATGGACGTGGCCGTGTCTGATTTCACAATAAAATTCTTGAAAGCAAAATTGATTAAAAAACTCCTTCCTTCCCACCCCCCGCCCAATAAAAAAAATGTTGAAGTCCGGCAGGACCATATTTTTTTGGCCCGACAGCGACTGAACAACTTTGATTATGGTGGGGGAAGTGGTCATTAAGGAGCTTGAGCAAAGACGATTTTGAGCGACGCACGTCAAACGGAAGTGGAGCCATTTTCCTTTTTAATATGCGTTGATTTTACCCAATTTTTATTGCTAAGTGTCTTTGCTCTTATAGAGACGATATGCTTGGGAAATTAGCTAAAACCATCCGCCAAGAAGACATGAAGTCTACTTCATGTTAACGCGCGTCGCTCTAAAACGTCTTTGTTTAAGCTCCCTAATGGGGCACCAATTCCGCGATGTGTGGGTGAGAAAGTGGAAAGTTTTAAAAACGTTTGTCTAAGTTTCAACTCTGGCTGGAGGAAGTGGAGAATAGCATGTTTATACCTCCATTATTTCCAACAACAAGTCAGTGACTTTCTCCATAGCGGTCATGCTCAGTGCATCTCCGTCACTGTCTCTCAGCGTGTATCTGCCTTGGTAAGTAGCTTTAAACGCTTTCACAGCTGGCGTTTTCACCTTGGAGATACCTTCGGAGCAAACAGTTTCATGACATTTAAGTGTTTAATTTAGTGCACATTAGAATCGAAGGCCGTGCAATCTAAAGCAAAGTAATCACTTTGGCCAATGACACGAAACGAACACAATCCACAGAGGCAATCACAACTCGCAGCGCAAACATGAAAACAGCGCCAAAAACGGCGTGAAAAAGCGCGCGAGCGAGTCACGATTGGCTTCGGTGTTACTTCTGATTGGTTGACATAATGCAAATTAAAAGGTCTGTGATCTTCAAGGGAGGGGGGAGAGGATCAAGTCAACCTAGGGGCCCTTGAGCAACTAAAAGCCTTTCTAAAAGGGTGTAAAAGATGCCTTACTGAATTTACCTACAGACTAACAACAATTATGTTCCGTTAAAACAGTCCTTGCAATATTTGGGAAAATCCCATGTTATCTCTTATTTATTTATTTAGCTATAGGCGTTAAATATATTCTTACCAAAAAGAAGGTAAAACTTGGGTGATGATAGCTCTGCTAGTCGTAAACGAAGGAGTCTCTGGGTTTCATCTGGGGAACAATACAGTAATACAGTTTTCTTACACATAGAAAAGATTCAGTTCCTCGGTATGTTTTACCAAACTAGTGCGAATACTTCATTTCACTCATTTTAACTTTATTCTACCTTAGGACAGAGAAGGTAAAATAAACATATTCAGCGATGTTTTTGTTACAATTGTAAGCCTTTAAACAGTTATTTTTTCGTTACATGTTTTTCTGCTGATAAATTGTTGACGAGTTATGAAATAGTGCATCGCTACTATGCACGCTGCAGCCAGCAGATTTACAGCTAACCAGAGCACAGAACGTCTGTTACACAGCTGTTCTTTGTCACACAACGCTGCTCCCGACAAAGGAGCGTTGAGTGACGACACGAAGAACGGCTCTGTAGCAGACTAAAGAGCAGAAAGGAAATGGAAAAAAATATCATGAAATACCGTAAAATTCCGAAAATAAGGCCAGGGTTTATATTTTTCAAAGGCCCTTTTTGAGGGGCTTATTTTTGGAGGGGCTTATATTCGGAGGGAAGTTTGCGTTTTAAAATCGATTGGGCTAGTCTTATAGTTGGAAGTAAATTTACCGTTTTTGCTTCGTTTTACTTTGTATATGAGAGCAATTTTCCAAGTACAAGCCCCCAGCGGGGTTATATTTGGAGGGGCGATTTAACGGTGGGTTTTTTGTGTTACCGGTTTGGGGGGCTTGTATTTGGAGGGGCCAATACATGGATATCCAAGAAGACTCACCGCTGAACTTGATACAAGTACAGGTACAAAGTGACTGGATAATATTGATAACCAGTCCGTGTATGGACGCACGGATGGTGGGCGGACCGGTCGATACAAGAAGAGACACGAGATGAAACAGGTAGGGAATATGGCTGGCAACTGAGAAAAAAAAAGAGAAATGTTTTCATTCAAAGTAGGCCTTAACTCTGTGACAAGATCACCAGAAACATGGAATTTGCTTCAATAAACGGTGTCATTTAGAACAGACGTTTGACTCTGTGCGGTTTGCAAATTACAGGCACGCGAGAGAAGCAACACAAAGTTGAATAACCCTTTCCGACTTGCATAAGCCTCGTTATCAAATCCGAGGTCTGGTACAAAACCATTCATTTGAAAATCAGCTTTGTTTGCGGGTGAATATAAAGTTATTTTCAAGTGAAAGAATGAGCACCAGGAATCTCTTTCAAAAAAGGCTAAAGGTAATTTTGAAATAGCCATTAATAGCTGAACTGCACATGTCCAACCTCAAGTCAGAATGACACTAGAGCGATAGCCGAATGGGTCTAAACAAGGTGATCCACCCCTGGAGTCGGATTGGGCGTCGCCCGAGATAAAATATGTCAACTCTACATAACATAAATATGGTTATCTGTGGTAAAACTAATGGCACATTCTTACATAACAGATGAGATGCAATGTGACTTAAGATTTGCGATACTACACGTGAACAGACACGAAAATAAAAATCTTATTTGTGCCAAATTTTTCTTTTTTTTTTCGAGTAATTTCTTTCCTCCGATATACGCGAACGTTGGTCCCGGTCTCATCCACTTAACCTTTAAAATCGAAATCCATATTCTCCACAGTGCGCCATACATTTCTTATACCATCAATGGCAAGAATTCGTCAGAGATAGTAAAATGAAATGGAGAAGTTAGGTGTTCGTAACAGCAAGAGTGTCCGAGGTCAAGGCGATCTTAAATGAAGAACTGATTGCAGTGTCTCACCATCAAGGCAGTCATTGAATGAAAGCATGAGAAGATATCTTGTGAGAATAGCAATGTCGTCCCACATGAGGTGCAGCTCCAAGCGTAATGTTGGAGAAATGAAGGTCTTGCTGATGAGCTGAGTAAAAAAAAGGAAAGAAAAGAAGAAAAATCATACACGCAAGTCAAGGTATGGCACATAGGAATTCGTAATGTAATGAAACACGTCTGAAGGATTACCTGCTGCCACATGGAAGGAGGAACATGGAAATGAAAAATTCGGCCCGGAAACGTCAAAGGAAATATTTTTCAAGTTGGGTTATGCGCTTCTGTTCGGATACATATTGGGGAGCTTACGCAACGACGACGGTAGTGAAAACGTCGGGAAAAAAAATTGTCAATCGCGTCTATTTGTCCCTCTTAATACGTCAAATGTACGCGATTTCTCCTGGAGTTGAATTCTTATGGACTTTATCCACCTTCAAAAAGAGAAAGGATAATTCGTCATCGTATGTTCACGTCCTCTGCGAAACGTAGCATTAGGAGGTTTCACGTCGTAGTCCTGCAGTGGACGTCATAAACACCTACTAAAAAGCGCGATTCACGTGTAGAGCTGTTGTTTTGCCCATAAAGCCAATCGTTTTTGACGTTGTTGTCGTGATTGCTTAAGCTCCCCTATTATTAGCGGGAGAACAACTCCATGTCTTACCGAATCTAACCTTCCAATGACCTTTCGTGAAACGACTTGCACATTGGCTGAGGCCAAAGCAACAGCAGTATCAGCCATTACTTCTGCCTTCACAGATCCCAGACCACCGGTAGCACTGGCCTGAAAAGAGAACAGTAAACGTTGTTGATTATCAATGGCTATCGACACTGTAAAATTATTTGAACGCCACCAAACCCTTTACCCTTAGATTTAGTGATCAATAACAGACAGCCCAGAATTGTCACAATACCTTGATGAAACAATCAAGAACCGTGTCCAATAACTCAGTTACTTTTCCAATATTTCCCCAGATTGTAGCTTGAACTGACGGATACATGGTCTATGACAACAAAACAACGATCATCAATGTTACAGTTAACTCCCTTTTCTGAACAGCTCGACCAGCGCATACATTGGCGTCTTGGGATGAAACACTAAAGAGTGATCATATAAGTGAACCTTATTTAGCACTCTTAACGACGATGCTGTTTGTGCAACACAGGGTGTCTTTCACTTTGAGGCCTGTATGCGTGAAAATTGAAATAACAACTACTCTGCACTTTTCTGTAAAGGATAAAACCAGCCAACATACCCCCTTCTCTTTCACAGTCAGATTGATCAGTTCTTCCAGAATGCGTGTCATTTTTATTTTCTGTGGATCATCGCCGGGGTACCTGCAAAACCTAAAGGAAATAGTTCTGTGTGATTCCAACTGAATGTCAACAAAATCCGACACCAACAATGAAATGAACAGAGACGTTTTCTGAGTTTGAAACCATCTCCGCTCACTTAAAAAAAAAACTTGCACCAACCTTGCAAGATTTGGCAACCACGGAGCCATGTATTCCAGACATAAATGTTTCAGTTCAAAATCTGATTTGACAAAACCTGCGATGCACTCCTCCAGGAACTGAAATCGTGAAATAAGGAACAAATTAACTACTTTCAGAGTATATTGAAAAAGCTTAATATGCGGCTTAATATGTACAGAAGTTTAGTCGTACAATTCTATTTTTCTGGGGCAAAAAACAATACTACCTCTACATTACATTACCTGCATTGTATCACTTAACTTTGCGCCAAAACGACGTTTTTGTTTCTTTACATACTTGAGAACCATTTACATGGTAAAAAGGTTTTAATTAAACCGATGAATGGCAATCAAGAAAGTATGGACTGATTAGGGTTAATGAGTTGTGACAAAACTCTTCTGGTCTAACCTCCAGAGTAAGCTGCGGTTCTTTTGCTGCAAGTTTTTCACTGATCCCAACAATAAAGAGCGTGTTATTGGCAGGGATACACAGACCTGAAATTAAGAAACATATTAATGATGCTAATTTAAGAGTAAAACACAGCAAAATATCAATTAACATCCATACCACTGTCAAAATTCGTCCGAAGAGAAAGAAAGATTCGTCATTTTAGAATACATTAGGTTTGATGCAACGAGGCGCTTGCACGGCTGGGGTTGTCTGCATTTAACTTCGAACGTAGTATTAAACAATTAAACTCCATGTATCTCCATTCCACAAGCAATCACTCTCCCCAAATACCAAGGACAGTTTTCTAAGTCAAAGTTTTATATTTTCAGCGAGGCAATCACTGACCGTACACGATCACCAAAACTTCGTATTGTGGTTGATTACCGGAGTTTTAGTTGCATTTATATCCTTACCTGTTCCCTCCAAAAGCCTTTCTTCAATTTTAAGATTGAATGACTTGGTGACTGAACACAAGAGATTGTAGGCAGCCAAGCGCAAACTTGGATCTGAAGTACCAAGGTTGAGCAAAGCCTGCAGTGCAAAAAAGACAGTACATGATCTTAATCTGAAGACGAAGACGAACGTACAAACAGAAACATTTAGGCCGGATTTAAAGTGATAATACTTCGGATGGATTTGTGAGGCACACGCATGCTATGAAGTCTTCGTGCGTACACAAAAACCTACGTTTTGGCAAAATAAAATAATGTATCAACAGTTGAAAAAAAAGAGGAGCATTTCTTTTGCGTTTAGTTAGCTCCTTCAGTACGATCGTTTCTTACCATGTTGAGTAACGTTCCCGGGACGTCCTTTGGTTTGATCTTTTTGCTCGCAGCTGTGGATGAATCCTAAAACAAAGGTAACACTTTGCTGTAAGCTCTTCACATGTTGGGTTTTCTGTGACTTTTGGTCACACTTTGTTTATGTGTTGGTCTTTAATAGTCATTTTTAATGAAACAAAGCCATTACATCTAAAACCTAAACGAGTAAATATCAAGGATTAAAGAGGGCTATAACGTCGATACAAGCTTACTGGTTGTGAGAGCTGCCATCTTGTTTTGACGTGAGTAACAGCTTGAACAAGTTGCTCACTTTCGTTGCACATCAAAAGAATCCCTGGGCCGACATTGGCTAGTTTGAGTAAGCAAAGATTCTCATCTTCAACAGTCGCCTGCAAAACAATAATTCAGCTATGATAAAAAGGAACTATAATCTTTTTACATACAACGATAGCAAGGGTGCTATCAATCCATGATAATACGCTCTCCCAAACATTGTCCTGTTTTACAAGGAGACCATGCAACTTTTTACTAAACCGATAGATTATTTGTCCTACAAACTGTACATGTGCCATTAAGTGGGGAGGCCTTTCTCCTGATTTCTGATGGCCTCCTATTATCTTCTTGGATTTGAGTTATCATGTGTAATCCTGATTTCTTCTGAAGAACGTTTCGTTCTTTGTGTATGGCAAAATAAATAAATATATAAATAATCAAGATGCCTAGAACTATATGTGCCAAACGTGAGCTGAAACAGGGATAATTATTTCTCCTGCTGGCACTTCAAAGGATACGAACAGCAGTTTGGATAAACACTACAATATACAAAAACGTACCCCCTTCACTTCTGAAGCATAGTACACATCATTCAGGGTGCTGGAATAGCCCAATACTCGGTGCCTTTCTGGTGTCATGATTTGAACTGACGTGGGACCAATCTACAGAAACAATAAAGCACAGTGGGCAATTTAACCATAAACAGAATGTCAGCTTAACCACAACCTCCTCTTTTTTCATTTCCCAATATAACAGCTTGTTCTGGGTGCTTCGTTAAGCCCCGGCGATCTCTTTTACTTGTTTGTTCGGACATCAACAGAGAATTATGGAGAATTACCTTAACAAGAACATTGCTCCGCGTTGACACCCTAAAGGCTTGGAATACCTGTTAAATCAGATCATATGCAATGTAAATCAACATAATTAGCGCAAAAAGACTTTTACTTTTTGACTGTGAAAGTAACAAAATCAACGTTTGCCAGTTTCACTTTGCAGTGATGTGCAAACAGATAGTGACAAATATAGCATTACTAAAGCAAAACCATTGGTCATAGCATTCCATCCACATTTTCAAAAGTAAGGAGGGGAAGGATAAATCACACACAGCTCATCAAAACCCACAAGTAGGAAGGTAATACTTATTAGGGTACGGTTTTAAATAGACCACTTCACAGTTGCGCATTGAGTTTCCTGGCCTTGAGTGGAAGCAGGGCTGGAAGTGACCTTCCTTTGATAAAAAAAACCTCAATGCCTTTCAAATGAAAATCATGTTCTTGGGCATATGAATGGGACTGAGGTTTCTAGCAAAAAAAGTTCACCGCCACGTCTGCATCCATGCAAAGGAAGGTACATTGCCTCGTTTTGTGAATGGCTGACAATCTCACACCAGAAGAAGAGTTTCGTTGGCGAGGATGAAAAGGAATCGCAACATGGACCTAAACTCAATCTGTTGCAGTCGATTACACAATGAAACAAACACCATCACCGCTTACCTTCAAATCCTCTTCGAGGGATAAAGTAGAGCTTGGTAGTTTGAGTTCACAGGGACTTATATACTCATGCAACTTACTTAAAGACTCACAAATGCGTACCACTGAGCGGCCCTAAACAAGTGAGAAAAAAGGTTTGCAGTTTATGACACTTCATCATTAATGACATCTGATACATGAGCAAATGAAGAAACAACTGTCAAGCTTCAAGATTTCTGGTGCAGTGCTAATAAAAAACGTTCAAACACAACACAATAAAGTTTTTCTTGGAGAAAATGACACGAGGGGCTAATTCAATACACACTGTATGCATCAGGCCACAATTGTACAAACGTTGGATAGCGCTATCCACTGGATAGAGTAATTGGCTTCCCTAATACTTATCCGCGGTGATTTATCCGGTGGATAGCGCTATCCAACATTTGAACAAGCGGGGCAAGATGACTTCCTAAAGTAATCTTCAACCATACCCTCGCAGTGCCTTTGCCCGTATACAAAATGCTCCTGAAGTGTTACGAAGAAGAAATGAAACAAATTTCAACAGGAAGCGCTAACCCTAATATTTTTTTTGAGTGATTTTTGATGGCATAGAGTTAAACCTGAAACCGTTTTTGCAAGCAGAGCATTAAAACGTTTTAAAGTTTCAATCCATGTCCATCCTTGCCATCTGTTGCAAAAGATGACAGGAAACAGTTTCAATGCCTAAAGATAATCGTAAATAACAAAACTGGACAATTATTTTTCGAATTCAACAGATACGAAAAGAGTTTTAGCTTTTTAAGAAGATAGTAAATAGCTTGACATAGCCCCTTTACTGCGCTTTTCACAAACATGCGAATTCTGTAGTTCAAAACCCAATCGACGATTCTGTTTTTCGCTACCGTCAATCATCTTAACGGAGGTCTTAGGAAACAAAACTTTACATCAACGCGTTCAATAGCTCATGGTCTGTGATTTGTGGATTTCGATCCGTTTTGTGTTTCAGGGTTCGTTGCTTGTGATCGTAATTATGATTGACGGCAGTGAAAAACGCAATTGCGAAGGCGGCTTTTGAGCTTTAGAGTTCGCACGTTTATGAAAAGCGCAGTAAGTAAATAACAGACTGTCGTCAGCGTTACTATCTTTTCAGTGTTTCTGGTTATCCCCAGTACAGCGAGGAAATCATTCCACCGAAGGGCAACCAGTGGAACCTCGATATAAAGAACCTCTATATAACGAAGTCCTCGGTACAACAAACGATATTCTTCGCCCCAGTCATAGTAAAACATATGTAAAAGAACCTCCATTTAACGAAACGTCGTTACCGCAAACATGTTTTGCCAGTCCCTTGGCCTTCTTTATATCGAGGTTCTACTGCATTTCAACACCACGTACAGATAAAAAATGGTTTGCAAGCTACCTTTAGAGGGGCCAAATGCCGCTCATTGTACTTTGCGTACTGTCTTAACGAGCCACTACAGTTGTATAAGTAAGCTGCCGTCAGAGTTTTCTCTGCACCATTAGGAACCACTCTCAAGATCTTTTGAACTGTAGTAGGCTGTAAGGAAATAAAATCAGTCAGATTAGTGGACGAGTCAAAGAACCAAGGTTCGACCACGTGCACGATCTTATTACAGCTTTGTGTTTTTCAGTATTATTATATTGCAATCAGTGCCCTGATTTGGTCCATTATGTCCCCAAGACTGTCGCCGACAACCCGCTGACTAAGTGAAAAATCTCCAGACTTCTTATTTGTTTTAAGCAAAATTCTTAGAAAGGCTGGCGAATGGAACCTCAAACTTACACTAAATCTGTTCTCTAATGTGGTGTGAGTAAAGTCGACTACTAATTCCCAAGGTCCTTCAATGCAGCTTTCCAGTGTCAACAGAGCGTGATAGATGAGCAGTTCATCACTTATTTGGTCACTTCTGCATGAATAGAAACAGCATTTTTATCAACAATTCAAGCCCTAACATTATCATCCATATTGTCTACAATGTTCTTCAAACGTTCTTATCTTTGGAAAAATGCACACATTCTCAAATCTAGGAGTCGTCGCTCGGAGTACAAAAATTAATAAAATGGTTAGTGCGTTGATTTTTATAGTGGAAATGCAATTGCGGTTCTGGCTAGTTTACCTACAGGCAATCCACTCAAATATTATAAACGGGAACGAATAATACAAAAAGTACAACAGGATTAACAACCCCAACTGGCAGAAGGCAATAGCTATTTACAAGCATGGCTGAGGACCTGGGACCCGGGACGACCGAGAAACAAATATAGGTAGGATTGGGGCACTCGAACCCAGGACAGCCCGATTGCGAGTCCCAGGCGCCGACCGCTCAGCCATAACAGTGTTTTACAGAAAAAATAATGGGAAAACGGGTTACAATCAAGGTACGTTATTCCACTTAAATTGGCTTGTTGGAACTTAAGAGGCCACTTAGGAACTTGAAATTCGTTCTTGACGCGGGGCCAAAAAAAGTCTCACGAAAATAAGGAACTATTAGACATAATAGCAAGACATAAGCCAAATAAAGGAAAGAAGCAGGGAAAAGTTGCAAAGAAATTTCTTATTACAGATAACTTTCCCTGTGATTTAAATCTGTAAAAGAGAGACACTGAGAGCCAGATAAACAAGAAATGATGTTAGTGTAAGCAAAATCTGACTTCGATTATTGTACATGAAGATTTCAAAATTGGTAAGACACTACCTGAATCGTCTGGCGACATAGTAAAACACAGGATTTCCTGCTTTTGATTTTCCACCCTTGAATGAAAAAATAACGACGATAACCTAATTAGCTTGAATAAGCCATTTCTCTTAGTTATTTAAATATCTGTTCCGTCATCACAAGAAGGAATAAGAGCACGTTTGTTACTTAAAAACTGGTATAAAAATAACCAGACAGTCTCAGGGGAGTGAAAATAAAATGTGCCTGTTTGGCAGGTTGATTCCCCGAGTGACAGAATCCAACTAACCTGATAAAACACATTCAAACTTTTAATGGACTGTAGCTCGTCTCGACTCTCCTCAGCATGTCGAGCCATAAACTCTTCATATCGTGCTCCATCTTGCCACCGTCTAAAGATCAAACAAAAACAACTTGCTTGGTCCCCCTCTCTTGCAAGACAACAACGTTTTCTTTAGAACAAGTTACGAGTCAATATAACAGTTGGCGCAATTTTTTAGGCTTGTTTCTTTTCTTGTAAAACGTCACGATTTGTTCAGCGTCACAAGCTTTGACGGCTTAGAAACCCAACTTTACTGTATTTATGAAAGGTTAAAACCTACGCGAGAGAAAAATGATTTTTCTGCTGATCAGGCGGTCCAAGATGAGCAAGCAGAGTAGACATTTTCTCAAAGGGTCTTCTACCAAACGTCTTGAATTCACTGAAAACACAAACGTATAAGCAACGCAAGCGTTATTCTTTAGGGTTAGAGTTATGTTTACCATGGTGATATCTTACTACAACGTAAGCTTAAAGCAGCATGTACCAAAGGCTAGGCTTTCTAGGGAAAATTGACTTTACGATAGCGACGTTTTTTCGAGGGCGGGCACCGTCTTTTCAAGTGCGTTTTCACAGCTATTCTGGCGTAGAACTGTATATGAATAAATAAATAACGATTTAGCGGTAACATATCCACCAGGTGGCCCTTCGTCTACCTGATTCCTGGTTGAATTGGAATTTGAAAATGTTGTTTTATGAGGAGAGGGGAAACCGGAGTACCCGGAGAAAAACCTCTCGGAGCAAGAGAGAGAACCATATGGAGTCGTGATTCCTCTCCTTACATGTTATTGTCAGTCATTTATTTTGCATTTAATTATTTGCTTGTTTGTTTTGGTCGTGTCTAGTTCTGCCTGGGTTTAGCTATCTGACCAAAGTATAATTTCTAGCTAATTTCAAATAATCAAGGTTTTGTAACTTAACACAGCTGTCACAGCATACTCAAAAGATTCATCGGAGAATTTTTTAAGAAGGAATAGAATTCAATACAAGTTTTGTTCATCTCGTTTCCCAATTGCAGTGTTGTAGCATCAGGGTAAATTATCTTCATCACTAACCTCTTAGTGGCTAAGTATGTACCAATCTTTTCCTGGTGATCCCACAAGAGTCTGTGAAGACTTAACACACTGCTATCGCTGATATAAGAATAACTGGTGCTGTCTTCGTCTCTCTTTGAAGGACACTTAGATGAAATAGTGCTAAAGAAACTGCAAAAGAACGTACCAAGTAACCCGACAAAATCACACACAACTATAACATCTCTAGTTGCTAAACATTCTGTTTAACTATGACAATAGACGGATCGAAACGCACCAATTACTGATTACGAGTCTTCATAGCCAATAACATCACGGCTTAACTGACAGACGACCAATAACATCACGACGTAATTGACCAATTAGATCAATAACCAGAGTATAATACCATCAACTGACGTGATACAACCCACTTTGACTCAGAAGATGACTACCGCACAGGTTGTCGAAACGTCAGTCACTGTCAACAACAACAGTCCTATTCAGGACTTCGTTCACCCGGACGATCAAACTCAACCTAGTTTTGAAGTGACTCTTGGGTTCAAACCTTTCACAAAAAGGAAAACGTTGTAGGTTACAAGGAGCAAATTATTGTCCTAAATAACGTTTCATGATAAACGGTTTGAACCCGCTAGACATGTCAAAAGGAGGCTCAGCTCCAGTGTAAAATAATTTATTACTCACAGCTGACATAAAACAAAGAAAACAAAACATCCTTAACAATGAATCTAACCATGACAGTAGTCCATAAAACAAAGAAAACCAATAAAAATTATATTACACCGGGGATGACCCCAAAAGTAAGTGCAAGTGATAGTCAATAGCTTTCTTACTCTCTCGCCTTTTCAAAGTTCGCTTGTAGAAAACCATTGAATGCTTCCATGTGTTTTTCTTTGGAGAAAAGGACGTGATTTGCCAAGTTTTGGAGAATCTGAAAGCAAAATACATGATTGGTTTTTATACATATAGTATGATGATGCCTTTTCTCTGGGGCCTTATTTTTAAGATGGCCGAGGAGCGAGGGTATTATCCGATTCAATGCACCTTTCCATTGTTCTGTGGTCACTGAAGTGGAACAGGGGGTCATAAAAGTTAGCATAAAATGGCAGTCGGTTAATACTTAAGTTAATCATAATAAGAAAAGTTGACCTTTAACGTTTAGGAAAGCAAAGAAACGTTTCAAGGTTTAATAAACAAAAAAGGCACCCTCATAGCCAGTGTGGTTGTAACAGTGTTAGGAAAGATTCCTCTACTTGTCGTTTACTGTGCATTATTTCTAGACCTACATAGTAGTTCACGCAATTTTTTGCCCATAAGAATTGTTTTGAGCTGTTTTCATGTGCTCATTTTCTATTTTGAGAAATTTTCAACTTGCATCTGACGTTTGCCGTATACGTGAAGCTTAAACTCTCTACTGCTAATCACTGAATGGAAACAACTCGCGCGGACGCTACCTTGGAGAGCAGCATTAGTCCTCTCCTGAGCTCCTCCGAGGGAATCTGATCAATAATACCTGTGACATGAGGTGAAGCTGTAGGAGAAAATGATATTGTCGATCAAATACAAAATCGTCAGAACTGTTAAACAACATGAAGCAAAGTGGATAATGTGAAGGCCGACTAACAACATAAAATAACTTATTTCAAGGATAATGACGTTGGTTTGCGCGCGCGCACTACTTAGTATTGAGAAAATCTCGTTCTCGCTGTCGTCCTCGTCTTTAAAAGCTCTCTATTATTACCGCTTTCAAGACATGTCTAGTACTCAGCGAGGGAGGGGATGATGATAAAACGTTTAACACAAAAAATAATTAGTCGCAACTATACACTTACTTATGGCCGGATTGATGAACCTCAGAAAGAATGCGCTGCCTACTGCCTCTAAACTGTGCTTTGGGAATCGTTGGTGAACAACCTAAAGCACCAAACATTAGTCTTGTGGGTGAATAGCTTTGGGTAAGGGAACTAAATAACAATCTTAAGATTTTAGCTTGACGAGCGCTCCTCGAACATAATTTAGCAAGGGTTAAAGGGTTTTGCAGATGGGATCCTCATTAAAACTAAGAGAGCTTTTCTCTCAAATCTCATTAAGATAACTTCATCATTTGAGAAGCTATATCAAATTAACATGCAAATATCCAGGCATCTCGATGTCGGTATCTTAAAAAGACGGGTACACCTCCTCGTCGTTTTCTTTGAATTCTAGCATTATAACTGATAGGTCAAAAGGAAAATGTTCTTTTCATAAAAAGGGAAATTTTAGTGAAAAGACAAACGCTTCTGGGGAATGTCCAAAACTGAGCCTTCAGGGAAAAAGCCTCAAGGGCCATTAGCATACCTCCTTCAAACATTTGCATAGACTCCGTAATTGAACTGGGAAGCTGAAAAATCCAAATAAAACAAAAAAGCATCACTGCAAACCCTTCAAAAGAGGGTGAGCCATTGTTCGACAAAAATGAAAGACCTGCTAAGTAAGAGAGTGAGCTACCGTAATTTGGCTGATCCTTTAGCCTTACTATGGCACAAGTATTAGGGTACATTACAGCCCCTAGCTATGGGGGTTATGCTAAAGGTACAGTCAAGTGGTATTCAATCTTTCTGTACCAAGAGACGCTTACCATCCTATGGTGTGACCATTCGATATTAAACTACATGTAGTTACCTGTCACTTCTCTAAACTTTTCGTCTGTATTTTAACTATCGGTTGCAAATTGATTCAGGAAATACAGTGCTCGTTGTTCTCGACGTCGGACGAGCCGCTTGATTATGACTTTAAACCAGAAAGATGTTCAAAACTGACAGCTATTTTTAAGTTAAGCAGAACCTTAACAAATCTAACACAAACTATAAAAGAGCACAATTAAATAATACGAACGAACTCAGGTGGTACAAGGAAGCTACCTTTCCACTGAAATAACAATCTCGTTGAGGAATTTCTGTGCTGCTTTGATCAAGTTATTTCTGTTTTCTTCCACATTTTGACCTTTTTCAAGCCTGTTTAACAAAGAAGAAAACAAGGAAAACGTTTTAACAGACCCCAGTTTATAGCGTATCAAACACCCGATGTGTTTCTTGCCTGGTTTCTGGATGACTTTGTTTTAATTCACTGGTGTTTCTATATCGCCAACAAGGTTAACAGTATCAAGATTAGAGGTGGTGTGGAAGGTAACAAATCAACTCCCTTTTTGTAAAAGAACCCACCCATCTTTTCGCATTTTTACAAATCTTCTCGTCTTCCGAGAACTACCAAAAGTGAGATGCACTACTTTGCTCAGTTGTAGAACTACCCGACTGCAGCAGGAATTCAACGTAAGCCCGTTTCATACAATACTCAGTTTTGAGTGAAAGAATTAATTCGTTAGATTTAGATTTAGATACTGAGAGATTCCTCTGCAAAAGGCGAGTTCATTCGGTTCCTACTAAACTACTATTTTCAAGAATACCGGTAAATTCCCAGGAAAAAAGTAGAAAATGCGCGGGAATAAACCTACCATGGACAAGCCTCCAAACTGAAAGGGAGCAAGCAAAGCCAATCTAAGCAAGCCCAGCCTCTTAAACACCCAGGTGATTACCGCATCAGAAAGATTACCTCTTGTATACTACTAACCTTGTTGGGTCAACTTCAAAGGAGACTTGTTCTTCGAACATTGGAGCGATGAGAGGTCCTAACAGAGTGTGTAAGTAATTACCGCCAAAGGCCTTAAAGCAGTAGGTTATGGTTTTACTTGCTAAGCTGTTGCCTCGAAATAACGTCTGCATTCCTTCAGCACTGTACACCTGAAACAGTTAAGAAAAGTACACGATCCATTTTTTTATTCACTTATCTCCTTTTCTCAAAAAAGTAATACCCAATCCAATTTTAGCCTGTAATAAAGATTTCAGTTTAAAAAAAATAATTTTTTTCATTGGAAAAAATTACATTTGAATGTCACTAAAAAACAAAGATAAGTAGCAACATGGGAAAACACTTCTGAAATGAATCGTCAAACGTCAGCATTCTCAAGTTCAAGTTGAAGACATAAAAAAGGGCAAAAATTATCACGACTCTTTCCCATGACATGGGTACAATGGAGGATAAAACTCAACGGCAGCCATTTTGACACTATCATGGAAGATTACACCATTGACGCCAGTGATGTGGACTGGAAAGGACTACATTTTGCAACAAGGAAAAAAGGCCACGCTTTTAGATCGTCGACGTGTATCACTACATGTTGAACAGAAATCCACCACAAATGTTAGAGGTACGACGCTTCCTGCATGGTGTTAATACTGTGACAAAAAATGTAAAAAAAGCTTCAATCTAGCTTCAAACTGCACATTTCAGTAGACTTTATAAAAATAACATGTTCAACACACCTCTACTGCAAACAGATTCTTTAACAACTGTGGAAGTATGTGTCTGTCATCAAACAGAGTTACTAGAACATGAGCTAATTCATCCTGAAACGATCAAAGAAATAAACGTGGACGAAAGTCCTGTTAGGCTTCATTGAATACGAGTATTTGGAGAATCGGTAGCCCATCAAAAAAATCAGAAAAATTAAAAGGATCGTTTTGTATACTGTAAATCCTCTATTAAGCTCCCGGGTAGGGGTGGGGCTTATTTATTTCAAACGGCATTTCAAACCCATTTGAGCGGTGGCTTAATAGAGACGGGGGGCTTATTTAATTTAGAAGAAACGATGGTCTCAGTTCTCCACGAATAACTAGAACACAAAGTGGAAAAGCTCAAGTACAAGAAGTTAGTTTGTGAATAAACTACCCCGGATCAGTCCACACGAAGTTTTACAGTCATAATTGATTAATACAGTCTATCATTTATTAGTGAAGAATAATTAGGGGAGGACGGGCTTAAAAGAGAGGGGGGCTTATTAACTTTCTTCTCTTGAAAAGAGGGGGGAGTTATAAGAGACGGGGGGCTTACTAGAGGATTTACAGTAATCCTAGGAAATAAATAGTACAACGAAAACGTTCGGCCAAAGAGGTTTCATTTGAATGGCAACACCATACCACGTCTTCCAAGGATGTAACAGTTAGAGTGACAAATCATCTGTCATAAATTGGTCTCCGCCATCAACTTACCATTTGTTGAGCAGGAGTTACACTGGCCATAGCCAAAGCAATAGGAAGTTTGCCTCCCTCTCCTGTCAGAGTCAGCAAATCTACCAGTCTATCAAACCTGTCCATCAACACTGTATCTGCCAAATTATCAAATTCAGTACCCTAAGAGAGAATTATTGCATAGTTAGGAAGGTCCAACTGCCGGCCGACTTGAGTTTCACTCTACGCCTTGAAATCACACTACGGGCGGATTCTATGGCAGACCAAGGAGGCCGCAGTCCCCTATTTTGTCTGAGAAACATTCTCAGTGAAATCTGTCTTCTACGCAAGTTAAAGGCAACCTTGAATCGGAATCCATTCATTGCTAGTCCAGGAAATCGTAATAATTGATTTTATAGTCAGTTCTGGGTCACAAAAGGTTTTATCGTTCGGAGTAAAACCAAAAACTTCACGAAAGAGGTTGACTGTTCTCCTGGTCCAAAATATGTCTGGGACAAAAAGTAAAACCCGACTAAGAGCCTGGATTTTCCAAGTTAGCCTAAACAGGTTCTTATATAAATGGTAGTTAGCACAAGTTTAGGCCATTTGGGTTCTTAAATATGTTTTTTTTCCTGAAGAAAAAAAAAACCAACAATCATAGCTAAGAGTATTAGTGGTTTAGCTTATTCCTCATATGAAATCTACAAACCAAATTAGAAAAAGAAAAACTTATTTAATTTGTAATTGTATCAGTAACAATGTTACTTGGTTTAAACATTGGCATTTACATTGCAGTTGGAGCGATAAGGCACCTATATGTCTCCAAAGAAGAATTCTGAATTATCCTATTTGCCCAAGTGTACAGAATTTTTTCATAGATTTTAGAAAACAAGAACCTGTTTCAAATTTCAGCTTAACAGGTTTTTAAAATCCAGGTTCTTAGTCGTGCGGTTTTACTGCATTGCAAAAGGGTCATGTTGCAGACTTCATTGAAGTACTGATTTTTAAGGTCTTCCGCGATAGAATACATAAGGTTCGGAATAAACCCCTTGTAAGTAACTAAAAGCATCTTTCGTTATAGCCTTTGCCAGGTTACAGATGAACTTCCCACCTGTTGTAGGATTTTCGTGAGGACCTCCATGAAGACAGTTCGGGTCTGAAGATCATCATGGTAGCCAAGCCCTGTGAAAGAACCAAAGCACTAAGGTAATTTCGTTCAATCCCACAAAACAACGTTTGTAAACTTTTGAGAAAAACAAATATCCCTCCTTTCTGTGGTCTTACCTATTGCGTACATGAGTCCAGTATCGATATTGGCATTCAGCAGATTTGACATGGCCAGCACTGTGTTTTGATGTAACGTTTGTGATGCCACATAATGAACATTTTCCTTTGCCCGTACTGTACCTTTCTCTCTATTCATTAAGTTCATAAATAGAGTGAAGTACCTAATTTGGAATACATAACAAAAGTATTGTTACAAATTGCTCAACTTATAAGAGATTCTCCTCCATCATTTAGGTGCGCTGGTCTAATATGTACCTCAATGGAGTACAGAATATTGACATTATGGTGATACGAAACATTGACCTGCCTTTTGGGGGGTTAGGGTAGTTTCTAGCATTGCCCCAGCAATGCAGTTGTTTATTTTGCTTAGTTTTAAATTAGTTTAACAAATTTATATTAGGTAACAAAGTTGCGATTTCACGAGTTACGAAAAAGCAACCACATGTCCGTAAGACCTATAGAGTCTTTTACTCCTCCTTTCTCTGGGTCAATTCGACTGCATTTAACCCTTTGACGACGACTTCGGTCGTTTTCGCTCGATATGGATTAGATCGTTCCACCGATGAGTTACACTCACAAGAAAAGGAACATTTAAGAGAAAAATCCACTGCCAATTTCGCTGTTTTCACTGTTCTTTGAAGATTAAATTTGTCCTTTTCCTAAAAAGTTAGCCTGCCACAATTCCACACAAAAGAAGGAAGATAAAGTGCGCAGCAAAACTGCATAAAAGAAGACATGCAAAGGAAAATAGAAAACGAAAGAGAAAGACCGAAATAGATTCCCATGCGCGAAAAACAAAACAGCTGTTTAATTTCATCTGATTTGTCGGAAAATATGCCCTTTTTGTTGCAAAACTCATTTTTGGCTATTCTTATGCTAATTGGACAAAAAACAGTCCAAAAAAAGAGGAATTAGTGACAATGCGATTTTTTCGCTTCTCGCTGGTCGTCACCGAAGGTTTAATGTTAGCAAATCTTTGATAATGCACAAAAAACAAATTTTAACCGACTTCACTAACTTGAGAAAGAGCTGTGACTTGGCCTCTGCAAGGTCAAGATCCGTCTCCATTCCTTCAGGTTGTAGAGGTAACCCAGAAAGCAATGAAGCTATTGCACGCATCACAGTTGCATCAAGTTCTCTACACATCAAAACCAAAATGCACGTTATTAGCCGAGTGCGTGCACGCTGCAATCAGTGACAAAATTACAAGAAAGGGGTGGGGAGGGAAAGCTTTATTTTCCCCTTTTTAAGTTGGCAAAACGTCAGAGAGACTCTTTGGGACAAATTGCTTCAATTACGTTTGTTGCCGATTGCTTCACACGGCATTATGCATGGGTCTCAAGGGATTACATGCACATCCATGTTTACAAAGGGCTTTGCTAACATGAGGGGATTTCTGAAGACATCAAGTGAATTTTTAGCAGCGGCAACTAACCCAGCCGTAGGCATCCAGAAAAAGGCATGCTAACTTACTTGGATAAAACTGAAAGCTCTGCTGGTATACTCTGATGATGTTCAGCTGAAGGAAGCACCCAGTCTGTGAGGTATTCCACTAGTTTATTCCTAAGCTTCACTTCTTGATGAAGGAGAAGCTCGTCTCTCCTTGCCATCACCTATTTCCAAGGATACCAAAACAAACAGGAGACTTTTTACTACAGCCTTTTCATAACCTTCTATAGAGTCAACTCTCTCGTAATGATCACCTCCATAAAACGCAACCTTTGCCCAACTGCACGCTTAGATTTGGTCATAAACGGTCATATAAGTCTATTTGTTTAAATCTCTACGAGGCGGACACTTCTCGAGGAAAAGCCTTCTGATGTCCGTCTTGAAGACAATGAACTGCAAATTTGAGGTTAGGAAACTTTCAGAATATATACTTACTTCTATAATATAAATATCTGACTTATAAAGTGAAACCAACCTTAGTGAGCGACAAATCAAACCAACACATAACTCACCTCTCTGCACGTCAACATAGTCTAGTTTTCCGATTAGAGCTAACACTGTAGTAAGCACTAGTTAGATTACAATCATCCCAACAGGAGCGCACATCGCCTTACAATTGTAGAATATATCTACAACGTGCTGCTTGTATTTCAAAGACTCACCACATCAATAAGCTGACAAAGTTTACATTTGATCTGGAGACACTGTTGGCTTACAGGAAGATTTCTTGCATACCTATGCAGAGAAGAGTCGAATATAATCCATCACGTTCTACTCAGGCCTAATAATCTGAACATTAATAACGTGACTATGATGACTACAATAAAGCTAAGTCCCTCGAATTTTACGAAATCCTCAGAGTTGCAGAGTTGCAACGGATAATTTTCCGTTTTGTAGTAAATGGTCATTACAACAATAACCTGACCATGATGACCACATAAAAGTAAAGTCCCTTTCATGTTGCGAAGTCCTCCAAGTAGCAGAGTTGCAGTGGAGACTTTCCTTTGTGGAGCAAATGTTTGCATCCTGTAGTGGCACCAGCCCCAAATTCCTCAATGAATGGGAGAAGTTAAGTATAAGAAATGCTCTGTAAATAATCTTTGGTCTCAAAAGTCGCAAAGTTTTAAAAAGCCTTGATAAGTTTTACGATGTTTAACAAGACTAGTCATAGATTGCCTTATGAACTATTTAACAAACTAACTAACCTGACAAACGATAAAATCATAGCATCAATGCCACTCATCTGAAAACCATCCTTCAATCCAAGTTTATTTTCCAAAATGTGCTTAATGATCACAATTATCTAGACATGAAAAAAAAGAAACCAATGATCGGCGAAGACACGTCGTTGGAATGTAATAGGAGTGTTACAAAAGCCAAATGGTAAAGGTTGGGGCATAATCCTGACAGGACTCCATATTTATAATCGCTGTCTAAACCACGTATCAAGGTCACAAGTTTACCAACCGCACTTGATCAGAGCAGAGGACAGTTCAGATGAAATGTCTGTTTAAAGTAGTACTCACAGAAATATATATGCCATTCAATAAGGCAAATGGTTGGGTTTACAGAGTGACCATCAAGTTTACTAGAAGCAGTGCTACGACACAAACAACCAATAACAGTTTTAATTGTAAGTAAATGTGCCCCACAGAGGAAAAATTACAAGCTAAAACCAATACCTGAGGTTGTTAAGTGGCATACCCTATACAAGTATAACTATTTTAGGTATTTGCCAACCCGAAAACATAGCGTCAGAAGTTGGTTTGAGTGCCCTTTAAGGAACCCACCTTTTGAAAAGCTGTTATTACCAACACATGAATTTCAGGTAAGAGAAAGGTGAAGTCACAAACAGGTACAGATTTTTTTTGGCAGGCAGGGAGGGGAGGATGTCTGAAAAAGGATATCGAAAATGATCATTTTGAGTCTGAAATAGGGTCGAGGGCAGCACTTCCCCTCAAAAGATTGTCAACAGCATCCCTCTTGGTTTGTTGTGGTTGTAAAGATAAGGGGACATACCTGTTCTGTAAAAAGAGTGTGTTTTTCTTGAACTATGACCTGAATAAGAAACGGGAAACATTGATCAGGATAACACCAACGAAGTTAAAGAGTCCCCACTGTCTGACAAACTAAGAAGGACAACGCAGATCCCTAATATAAGGAGAACTCTACAGCCTGTGTTAAAGCCGCCAAAAGGAATCACATCACTGCAGACATGTCAATCACTAATGTCATACAGACTGTGCTGGTTCAATAATCCCATACCTCCACTAGCTAACAGAAAATGCAAAACACGCACCCGCACGACCCCACATCAACAAAGGCTGGTTTTACCTGGCTAGTCTATAAAACCTCCATAGCCTCCACAAATAGAAAACAAAATGAATACTAAATTTGCAAGAAGCTTGTCTTCATCCAGGAACGAAATCTTTCACAATGTAACTCTTAACTCTTAGGAAATTATAGGCATTACTCTCTATCCAAGACTACGCGTCCTAACAAACCCTTACTCATATTCAGCTACCTACATCATCACAGGAAATCAATACTCCATGAAATTAAGTTACTGGAAATAAACGCGACTTAAATTAACGCCAATTTAGTGGAAAACGAATTTCGAATAAAGGAAATTAACGCAAAAGAGAGAGTAACATTTCAAAATGAAGGAAATTAACGCGACGTTTTCAAAGAAGCAAAACGTGTTGAGACAACAGGAACAAAGTTAAGTTCGTGGTTCTTTCCTAAAACGAGCGAAGGGGGTCAAGGGTAAAAGATCTCGCTACTTCGACGGTTCTCCAGTTTCCCTGTTACTAGCGGATCTCCACCCTGATTTAATACTCCTCTTTCTTAGGTGTCAAGAATGTCGGAAGTGTGTCAAGAATTTGGAGCTACAGCAATTGAAATTAAGGTCGCGGAAATTGACGCTCCACTCAAATAAAGGCACAGAAATTAACATAAACAAAAATTAGAGCGACTTAAAGTAAACTAAAGTTCATGAACCGTTAATTTACTATAACAAGGTACCTTACTTATTTACCTGACCAGAGGTTGTAAAGAAGCTATTAACAACTCGCATAATCTGCGTCAATAATATGGGGTACAGTTTCTGACTTAGTTCAACACCAACCACCTCATTTACTGTGCTGCGTATCTGACAGAAGAACAGAACGGTAAGAAAGTGAACATTGAACAGCATGTCTGAAACTATTATTAATTTTGCTAACCCTTTAACCCGTAAGGGTTACAGGCACCGAATTCCTCTTTCATCTGAAATATCACTACTAATACAAAATAACGGCCTGTAGCGTTCAGCAAGTTAGAAGGTCCTTAATTGTCAAACCAATTCTTCTCAGCATAAGGGAAATGTATGGAGAACAGTGTTGAAAATAACACGCACTGATATAATGATTTAAAGGGTTAAACTAACGAAAAAGAGGTAACGTATCATTATGGCTTTCAGCATGTAGCTTGAGACCAGAACATTTAAGCGAAGACAGTGTAGCATGCCACCATATTTTGCACGTCCTTACTACCTTACACAGAAACATGTCATAGTCCAATACGTAACAGAACTGCACGGCCATTGGACATAGTTTTTGGCAACCCAGGCAGAGCTGTCAAAGTCATGATTTACGACCTAAAGGCCCCCTACTTTACCTCAATAACAGCCACTGAAATTGACCATTTTGAGGTCACGCCTGAGACTGGGTCAGTGTTGATTTGCAAGGTTCAACGGATGGCGAAGTGGTGAGAGCAGTCCGCTGCCACGAATGTGGCACGGGTCTAAATCCCCGCATTGACGTCATATGTGGGTTGAGTTTGTTGTTGGCTCTCTCCTTTGCCTCAAGAGGTTTTTCTCCCGGCAGTCCTGTATTCCCCTCTACTTCATAAACCAACATTACCAATTTCCAATTCTACCAGGAATGGTAGACGAAGAACCATTCATGGATGTAATACCTCTAAATCGTTATTTACTAATAATAACCAATAAAAAAAGCAATTGAATCCCCAAAACAGTCCTATGGTCATTTCACACAACACTGATCCTGTCACATGCACAGCCTCAAATTTGCCAATACACCAGGTTACTTCTCATACTGATGCTAACCTGTAAACCAGTCTTTTCATTGGCGCAAACCAGAAGACTCAGCAAGTCCTGCATAAACCTTAAATAGAAATTAAAATGGGGAAAATGAGCAGTATTTGGCCTCACGTGCCACACAAACAGCAGCCACGCAAATTTGTAAACAAACGGCAAGGGTAACTTACTTTGTCACAGTATCACTTTCTGTTTTTCGTGAATGATTGACAGCGTGTACAGATGAGGGAAGACTTCTGCTGTATCTTCTGAAGACGACAGAGAGAAAAACAAAATAACCAGCAAAAATAAATAAACGAATTTTAAACACCTGTTGTTTATAAGTTGGTTGATACCTGGGCTTTCTGGTTTGAGTTCAAAAGCACACAAAGTACAATTTCTTTTATAGATAGAAACCGTTACCTCATAGCTTGTAAAGGGGTCAAACACACACCCCCCAGTGAACACAAGAACCCAGTCATGCACGTCCACTCAGTTAATAACGCCTACACATAATTTCAAAAGGGAAGAAAGTTAATAAGGTCATTTCACTGTCAGGTTGCCTTACAATGGATCAGCAAGATTGTACATATCTACAGTAAAAAATTCTACAAAAGAAAAACTTTCAGGTGGATATCCCTGAACAAGAAAATCTACAGAACAAAAAAATATTGTTTCCATGGTCTGAAATTATATTCCTAAAACAGCAATGGTTGAGAGGTCCTGGCCACAATTTTCTTACTGGCCAGTGGATTAATTACCGCAAATCCATGAATTAGTGCCCTCCTTCAAATAGAGGGGTACCACCTTGACTCCTTGAGGCTAAAATTATCAATTAAGCATTCCACTGACATAAGTAACCCTAAACCTTCCCAAGAAAACAAATCGCTGAATATAAAGTAGAAGAGGAATGCAAGCACACCATAACTTAGGAAACCTTAAAATAAAAACAGAACTTTGAGAGCGACCATACAGGGATTTGACTTTCTTCTCAAAGATGAGTTAGATACTTAGTAATTACTGTCTGCACTTACTGAAAATAAAGACAATGTAATTTTGAGGCCAAAATTTGAAAAGCTAAATAGGCCCCCCTTCAAATTAGCGATACCCTTTGACTACATAAGCCCACTTGGGTGCTAATTCGAGCATTTAAGGTAACTTCCCACATTGTGTTTCCACATTATATAACAGTGAGTAGGTGTCAAGCTCAGAGCTAGTACACTCCTACCTGCAAATTGTCATTGGTGAGTTTTGATACTCCTTTCCTTCTTAAATATTTTTGTACATCCATGGCAGAAGACTCCTCCTTACCAAAATTTACAAGATCATAGGTCAACCTTTGCCATTTCGAGTAGGTACTTTCCCAGGCCTATTAGAGAGAAGCACAGGTCATAGTGAACTGTTTTAAACAAAGTTAATGTTATGAGCTCTAAAAGATTTTAAATAACATTGTAAGAGAATAACGCTTAGTTAAGAGAGTCTAAATTTGACCAAGCCGAACCAAAATGCTGATTTTAAGACTTTTTATGTGGAGATAACTGAGAAACCCGTGGAAACAACCATTTACTCTACTCCTGTTCTGCTTCCTCTTCAGGGTTATTTTTCGGTATGAAAACTGGTAAGCAATACTATCAGTACAATGGCTGGTAGCTGTAAATACCGACATCTCTAGACTGTTTGTTTGACAGGTTACACAACAGGATTTTGTCCGCAAATTTAACACCATAACTTGGTCTGCTAGTGGAAGGATTCATATGAAGTGAAAACAATTATAATACAAGTAAAATATGTGGAAAATACTGACATATACCTGCACGTTGCCAGCTGTTTGTCTGTCAAGTTGTCTGAGCAAAGCCATAATACGCTTCTGAAGAGCAGCTCTCCCTGAAAGGAAAAGGCAGTTTGATAAGTATGGCAAAAAGATCCCTCAAATTTTTCTTCCTTGCAGTAAATTAAAATAGTACATTATCTCCATCTTCTTTATGTGCAATTAAGTCTGGTACGGTACCTTTTTTCTTCAGAGGGCCATACCCGAGCAATGAATCAAAATAACACTTCTGGAAAGTTTACAGCAATACACTACATAACACTCTATGCGGACTACTGCTAAAGACTAGCATTTCACAAAGAATGAGCTAAGCCTCATTAGCCACATTGGCCAACCCAAAAATTGGCAATCGCTGATTGCGACATGTTTTTACGCAAAACTTCCAAAAAGCAGAACAGTAATTATGTAGATAGCCTGTGTCCCTGTGGTAATTTAACCTTGGTTAGTGAGGTCTGCGAGGCAGTGCCCAGATCCTTGTTCTGTGTCCCCAACGGACTCAACGAATTACCAGAGGGGTGTTTCGAATTTCTTTTCACACTGATTGGCAAATCAACAATGGCCTTTTAACAGACCAATCATGGCGCGTACTCAAATCCTAGTAGAGGTGGGGCCCCAGAACAATAATTTCGGCGCTGTTTTGCAAACGGACTTAACTGGAGTTTTGTTTCGTCTGTGGCGCAGGCTATATGTAGACTACTACTGTTGACAAGCTGCTACTGAACAGCTTTGTAATTAATTTGTCCTCCTTGTCAATCTATAGGCAAGTGACACAAGATGCCGATGATGATGATGATTATGACAGAGATTCATCTCTCTTGCCTTCCTTACACTGTACAGCAATGCTATTTAGACATTGGTACTGCAGCATTTTGCAGGAATTACATGTACATTTGGTTAAATGTAATTTAACTAAGTTAACCACCACGAGCTTAGCGGTCAAGCGGTTCACAAGCGTAGCGGTCAAGCAATTCACAAGCATAGCGGTCAAGCGGTTCACAAGCTTAGCAGTTGAGCGGCCACAAGTTAAGCGGTCTAGCGGTCCACAAGCTTAGCGGTCTACAAGCTTAGCGGACAAGCGGCCCACGAGCGTAGCGGGCATCCAGCGGTCAATCCCATAAGTGCAGGCTCACATGGTGTGTGGTAGCTTTGTACATGGCTAGGATCTGCGAGTTGTTCATCAAGCGTTTGTGCAGTGGTCTGTGGAGCGGTTCATTTAGCGTCTTTCGCCTTTTTTAGCGATCTTTGGAGCGTCAGTCTTACAGTGTGCTTTTTCTTGTATCCTTTTTTCTTTCATTTATTTTTCAAAGCGTGCGGGTCGTCACGTTCGTTCAGGATGCGTACCACGAACAACAGCTTGTCAACGATGTCTTCCCCGGTTACCGCGTCTTCGCCTTCTTCTAGCGGTTCTACCCCAGCTCCTACAGTGAACACCTCGGCTTCTCCGCCAAGTCAACCTGTTTCCCTGCCGGACACCAACGCGCTAGCCCAGGCATTTTCAAGAGCTCTCGCGGAATCGCTCCCTCCGTTGCTATCTTCCCTTCGAGATTCCAGTGGCGGGAACTCGAACACGGCCGCGGCGTCTGTTCCTCTCTCCTCGACTTCGACTTCTACGCAGTCTCCGGCATCCTCTAGCTCCAGTACCCCTGGCTCTACCTCCCAGTCTTCAGGTACGCTTGTTATGCCCTCATTTATTTCAACGTACAGCTCATCTGGCGGTCCTTCGGTAGTCTCCTCTCTTCCCGCCACGTCCTCCGCCAACTTGCCTGTAGTGGTTGGGGGCTCTTGTGGTGGCGCGACCGGAACCGAGTCCTCTACGCTTCCAAACCTCAACAAAGCATTTGTGGTGGGCCCTGGCTATGCTCCAGTCCCCTTTAAGCTTGTTTCTAAAATTACCGCAGGGCTTTTTGTAGACTTGGCTGACCTCCTTCCGGACAACATCAGAGCTCAAGAAATCGAACCCCAAGCGTTTTTGGAGGGAAAACTGGTGGTATCAGGGTCGAAGAAACGGGTCATTGAAATAGCAGACATCATCACCTGGATTGAAGCCTTCACAATCTTTCTTTGATTCTTTGCCACACCTTCCCCTCTCACTGGAAAGATTTAAATCAGTACAAGTTACTCATCATCCAGACAGCAAGGCGCTTTTCTGACAAATCGTGGCTCCACTACGACATCGCCTTCCGAAAAGAAGCCGCAGCCTCAGGTTCAACCGACTGGTCTCGCATGCACCCAGACCTCTACAACTTTCACACCAGATCTCCAGTGACCACCTCAACTGCTTCAGGCTCCTCAACTTCCTCTGCCTTATCAGAGCCTCTTGGGTCTTCAGGCAATCCCGGTCTAGCCAGTATTGCCCACTCCTGGAGCGACGGGCGCTGTCGCTGGCCCTTTGGTCGCTGTCGGTTTTTCGTCACTCCTGTGAATCGTGCCACGGGACCACCCCGCATCCACTGCCCTCACCGGTCCGCTGGAGAGCGGTCCCGCTCCCTTCTCAGTCAAAGGGGGTCTCCGCCGTCGCTAGGCAACCTCTAGCCAATTCAACTGTAAATAGTTTTGTTCCTGTTCACGTTGGTTCTCATGGTAATTTTTCAGCGTTAGAGTTGCGTTCTCCTTTTGTGTTACCTTCTCAGCAGCAGGGTCTGCCAAGTTCCAGTTCTTCGTTGTGTTCTCCAGCTGTTTGTCCTTTAAGACCAGTTTCTCAGCTTACTCCCATCAATGTGGATAGATTCCAGCATGAACTCTGTCATCATCCTAACCCAGACAAAGTTGCATATGTGGTCCAAGGCCTTGGCGATGGTTTTCACCTAGGTTTCAATTACAGTACTTCCCTGAAGTCGGCAACAGGGAATATGGCTTCAGCACTCCTGAACCCTCAGGTCATTGACAATTACTTGCAGTCGGAAGTTCAGTCAGGCAGGGTGGCGGGCCCCTTCTCCCAGCCTCCCTCCCTGTCCTCCACGTGAGTCGTTTCGGCGTCATCCCCAAACGCCACCAACCTGGCAAATGGCGTCTTATCCTGGACCTGTCTAGCCCTGTGGGGCACAGTGTCAACGACGGAATTGCGGGCGAGGATTATTCTCTGCAGTACATGAAGGTAGATGACATTATTGCAGGCATAATGCGGCTGGGGCGGGGTTCCCTCATGGCGAAATTTGACGTGCAAAATGCATACCGTATTGTGCCAGTCCATACAGAAGATCGCCAGTTGCTGGGTATGAAATGGCGTGGTGCCTTTTATGTTGATATGGTCCTGCCTTTTGGTGTCAGGTCAGCTCCATATATCTTCACATGTATAGCAGACTTAGTGGAGTGGGTGGCCAAGCAAAACTACGATGTCACCTTCCTGATGCATTACCTTGATGACTTCCACACTCTTGGCCCTCCCGGCTCCTCTGTTTGTCAACATAATCTGGACAGGTCAATTGACTGTTTTTCTAAGCTTGGCATCCCCCTCCATCCAGACAAACTAGAAGGGCCGTCGACGTGCCTAACCATCCTGGGCATTGAACTGGACTCTCTTAATCTGCTGGCACGCCTTCCTCAGGACAAATTTGATACGATAACTGCCTTGTTGGAAGATTGGTCACAAAAGCGTTGGTGTAAACGCAGGGATCTGGAGTCCCTAATAGGTCACCTTCAGCATGCCTGCAAAGTCGTACCCCAAGGTCGCTCATTCTTGCGCCCGAATGATTAACCTACTATGTGCCTTTTCGACGCGATGACCACCCGATTCGTCTCAATCAAGAGTTCTTTCTTGACCTAGCCTGGTGGCAAGAGTTTTTCCAGTCTTGGAATGGTTGCAGCTTTCTTCAGTACCCCCAGTGGGCTCCAATTCCTGACTTCGAGGTTTCTTCAGATGCCTCTGGGGCTCTTGGTTATGGAGCAGTCTTCCAGGGTCACTGGTTTTCAGGTGCATGGCTCCCATCACAGGTCTCTCAGTCTATCGAGTACAAGGAACTTTTCCCTATCGTCGTGGCAGCTTACCTCTGGGGTCCCCAGTGGGCCTCCAAACGGGTCAACTTCCCATCAGATAACCGCTCAGTGGTGGGGACATTTTGCGGTCTGGCACTTCAAGAGCCCCTACCATCATGTCCTTGGTTCGCTATCTGTCCCTGTTGGCAGCTCGTCCTCCTTCTCTTTCACTGCCTCCCCAGTTAGAGGGAAGTCTAACCCCATTGCTGACTCCCTGTCTCGCTTTCAGTTTCAGCGTTTTCGCCGGGCTAGCTCCTCTTGCAGACTCCATTCCAACCCAGATTCCGCAGCAGCTCCTCTCGGACTTGGATCTTCGCTGTCAGATAAATACCACTTCTATTTGACTCAGGGTCTTGCCCCTCCACTAGGAAAGTCTATGCTTCTGCCCAACGCCGCTTCTTGGATTTCTGTGCTCAGGACAATAGCCTATCTCCTTCGGGATCAGCTCTTCCAGCCAGTGAAGACGTGCTCATCCGTTTCTGCTGTCATCTTGCTGATACTCTTCACCATTCATCCATAAAGGTTTACCTTTCAGCAATTCGGTCCCTTCACATTGAGGAGGGTCATCCTTCTCCGCTGGTTGGTTGCCTTCGTTACAGCGGGTGTTGCGGGGGCATCAAACGTCACCAAGGCTCAAATAAGCGTCAGCGCCAACCCATCACAATCGAGCTGATGCACATTATCTTCCAGTCCTTGAACTTCTCTGACTACAACCATACAATGCTTTGGGCTGCCTGCTGTCTCGGGTTTTTGGTTTCTTACGTGCTGGTGAGTTTACTGTCAACTCTCCCTTCAATCCTGACATCCACCTTGCTGTCAGTGATGTCCAAGCAGATTCCCTAGTCAATCCTAGCAGCTTCAGGATTCATATTAAGTGCTCTAAGACGGACCCCTTTCGCCAAGGTTGCCATATTTACATTGGTGCTGGTAAACGTGATCTCTGCCCTGTGCGCGCCCTTACCCAGTATCTACACGTCCGTGGCTCAACTCCTGGCCCACTCTTCCTTCTCTCTGATGGCACCCCTCTACATCGCCAATGGCTGACATCCAGTATTCAGTCTATCTTCTCCGCTGCTGGGGTCACTGGTTGCTACACCGGTCATAGCTTCCGCATTGGCGCTGCTACTTCAGCAGCCTCTCGTGGCTTACCAGATCACCTCATCAAGACACTTGGCAGATGGTCCAGCGATGCGTATCAGATCTATATTCACACTCCCGTCAGTACTATCGTGGGGGTAGCAAGCCTTCTCACTTGACAGGTATTTTCTTGCATATCTTTCTCTTTTCCTAGTTGTCCTTGTAGGGTGCCTCGGGACTTGGGTAGTTCGGGGCCAGGGCTTTCCCCAGCCCTGAGCCCCTCTTTCCCTCTCGAATCTGGCTGCGTCAGCTCGGAGAGTCCCTTCGGCTTGGAACGGGGGCTCATGGCTGGGTTGCGGGGATTTGCCAGCCATGGGGGCAGTTTTTCTACCTAGGGGCTGGCTGGCCACAGTGGAAGCCCCTGGGTATCCCAGGCACCCACCTTCCACTTAAGCGAGGCAGTTGGTTAACTCATAATTAACACAAATGCCAAAAGAACAAGGCACAAAGGAAAGGGATTATACGACATGTGGCCTCTCCGTCACCAAGAAATTTGATTGTAATAGAGAGTGTCCATATTTTGAAGGCGTCCTTCACGAGAAATTTGACTGTGGCTCTGTATGCACCTGAGATCAAACATGTAGTACTCACCAGTTGTAAACTTAGTAGCCTCTTCAGACAGGTTGCGATACACTTCAATATTTTGAGCACTTGGAGGCTCATTAAGGTTTTCAGAACATTGTACAAGGTCTATTTCATTGCACATTTGACCAAAACAAGAGAGTGAGATAAGTACAGTTTCCACGTCCGGACTCCACAAGAAAGTTAGGAAAACCTCCTGTAATTAAGAAAAGAAGAGACATTAAGTGAGTTAGGCAAAAACCACTCCAACGAACCAAATCAAAGCTCAAATTGACAAGTCAGTCAAAAAACGACAATAAACATTACAAGCATTCCACATACTTCAAGTTTAGTTTGAGAAATTGTACAAATTGGTGTGTGGCAGCCTATAGAAGCTTGCTCCTGTAAACACAACACACACAAAAAACAAAACTTTGTTATGAAAATGACCGTTAAATGCTGGTCTTTAGTGACATAATGGGCACAAAAAAAACTATACTTGTAACACATATTAACTTCCCTCCCCTCTCCCAATAGTTTCAAGAGCCAAAGGACAGTTATACAGATTATGAAAGAGAAAAAAATATTTTTCAACAAGAAAAACAAAGAATAACATGTGAAAGTACAGTACACCTTCACTCTCAAAAGGGGTTTCAGTTGAATGGCCATAGAACAATAGGATACAGTTACATGATTATAGACAATAAACCTCAATAGACATACGTGTACCTTATGTTTTCTTAGAAATTCATTTTTTCCAAAATTCAGATCTCGCAAATATCTTAGTAGAACAGCTCCATGGCTGCTGTGACCTATTAAAAACTCAGCAATTGACACCATGACGTTTGAACTTGACATGAAACAAGAATGAGAAAAATGTTAGTGCAAAGCAAAATACAAAATGAAGTTTTAGTAGAAAATTTAAATCTTACAAGGTCTTGAAGTGCTTTAAAAATAAAAATGTGAAAAGGAGCCTCTTTAAGTTTTTCGAGCAAAATCCGAATCTTATTTAGTTTGGATTAAATGCTAGTGAAACATTTGTGTTTATCTACCTGGCCATGCGTAAGTACCGACCATAACCTACAACCAGGTCGGCCTCTTTTGGTGGGGGAAAGGATAGGGAGGGGAAACAAGAATATTAACTCCTTCTAATATGCTGCAAATTCAAGGCTCCACTTAAAATGTCATAAAGAAGTTCTTTCTAATATTGTGAATTTATTATTATCTTTGTCTAACTAACTTTTTGGGTGGGGCAGTGCTGCTTACTAAACCTTTCCAGCCCTGTACTGGTGTCCTATCAGAGAGAGGGCACAATCTTGCTGGCTGCTGGGCTTAAACACTTGTCCACAATCTTGGGCCTTGAAAGCACGTTTTCTGCCCTACTTTGCAGGTTGAATGCTTTTTGTTTCATGCCTAGACTAACATGCCAGAACTACATTGTACCTGATTTCCCAGAATGTGGCAATGGGTGCCACAGGGTTCCACATCTCGATATAATCCGTTTGAAAGAAGAATAGAAGGGTCTGAAAAAAATAATTTAAAAAATAAAACAGCCAAAACATAAGTGCACCTTACTTTACAAAAGCCAAGGCTAAATCTCATGTTTAAAGATAACATCTAGCAATCAAACCAAACCTTCTAAAGGTCAAAGTCAATGTGTAGGGCTAAAATTTATAAATTGATGCACCATTCACTTGAGATAGTGCTGTATTTTCTTTTCTTATAGCAATTGTAACAAATGAATATAAATATGGTGAATTTACTTCAGCTGCCTCCTGTCTGATTTCAACTGGTAGTGTTGGAGTTAACATGAGGTTAACAATGCCCATAATCAATTGAGTTGAGTTCTTTTGAATTTCCCATCCATGAAGATCAGGATTCTATGAAGAAGAAAAAAAAACAAATAATTTTAATGTAATATTAACACAGACAAAGAGTCAAAATAAAATGAAATGGGATCTCCTCCATCAATGAACTGTTTTTTGTTTTTTTTTTACCAGAGGTAATGACAAAAAAATGAATTTACCTGACAATCGATTTTTAAAAACTATTTTCTCAAAGGAAATTTGTTCAATTATTAACTTCAAAGTTCCAGGGAAGATAGTACAACATGTACACAAAAAAGGGTAATTTTTTATTTCACATAACATTTCTCCTAAAAGACATTTCTTGCACAATAACCCCAAATATTTTAGCCTTATTCCCAAAATGCTCTGGTAAATTTTCAAAGTACTTTACTACAAAATGGTTGCCACCTTTTTTAGCTTTAATTTGATATGTGTTTGGAAATGTAGGTATCTGCAGTTTATTCAGAACATGCCACATTTCTTGCACATACAATACCCTGGTGAGAGCAATGAATATTTTCAGTTCAATAAATCAACCACCATGAACATTTCATTTTGATAGCTTTTTCCAACTTTGTTAACAATACTTCACTAATTTATTGCACCAAATCTTAACAGTTATTGATCAATTACATGAAATGCAAAAACAGGGTCAGCATGGAATATCTTCACCAGCCACAGCAATAACTCTTTGTCATTTTTCTTGCTGGAATGAATCTCATCTTCCTTGTGCTTCTTATCTTTAACTTTGTAGATCTGGAAAACAACATGAATTTATCTTATTGCCCCTGCAGGGATTTCGCCTTACCGAGGAGGCACTCTGGTAGCTCACCTGTATATTAAGGAAAGTACTTACAGTTGAAATATACAGTCAGTATGCCAGAAAAAATCGGGAGTTGCTTGAACAGGGGCCGCATGGAATCATTGGGTAATGATGATGTTTCTATTGTTTGCAAAATGGAAAATCCCGAAGGGACCACCAAGGTAGATTTTGTGACATTTATTGTACAGTCCCACTTCGATACTCTTTTGTGTTATGTGTTATCAGTGACATTCTGTTGAGTAGCTGTTTTGAAAGTTATGGACCAAAGGACACTTGTTAAATGCAGCATGAAGTTATAAGGTGCATATAATAATTGTGTATGTATAAACACTTGGAGAGTTTGCTCGACACGAATTCACAAATCTTTGATTGGAAACAATGTGCCAGACACACTCTTTCTCTCTCTTTAGGGGAAAAAGACACAGTCCAAAAACAAGCAAGATGAGTGAATCAACGGCTAGCTTGTCACTAGCAGAAAGACGGACGATTTTTTCGCCAAAAATTCAGTGCTGACTTATTCCCTGCACACAGATGTCCTTCTATTAAAAGTTTAAAAAAACTAGAATGCGCAAGCATGAATAATCAAACCTTTCCAGCAAATAAAATGAACTGTATGTAAAAAGTGAAAGAGAAATAGCGAAAGATTCCAACCTCTAATTAAATCTTTTCTTCTGGTTTAGAATAAACTATCCTCAAACCTGAGAATGTGTTGATCAAAGCTGTGTAAATGGAACTGAATCAGTACATGGAACCTTACATTGCATGTTTTTATCTCACCTATTGTATGGAGCACATGTGAAAATCTTCATTATGAATTGCCATATATATTTCAACGACCACGAATACTATTGACCGAAAATATACAGAGGGGGAGGGGGGGCAGCTGTAGTGTCAACTTTTACTAGTTACACTATAATAATGCTTTAACAACAGACATTTTATAAGAATTTTTCTTGATTTCTCACTAATTTCTGACATTTTCATTATGACATTACCTGTTTCTTGTTTTTTGGTTGATTTTAACATTACTCAGCACCTAAACTGATTATATTCATTTACAGAGATCTCTGAAAAAAAAAAAAGTTTTCTGTTCTTTTTGTGTTATTCATCTAACCTGGCTAAGCCTTGATTGTTGTCCCTCCTGTTCTGCATTCTGAACCCTGCTACAGATACTCTGCACAATTGAAAAAAAACAATTGAAGACCTTTGTGACACAGCTACTGATTGAAAAAAAAATGCACAAGTTAAAAATAAGAGGAAAATCTATTAAATTGTGAATTGGTGTTATACTGCTGAAAAGGTAAACATACCAAGAAAAGTTGTCTAAGAGCTTGTGATTTGGGATGAAGCAGTTCCGCTTTTGGCCACCACCTTAAAGGAGACTAAAAGACAAGCAGTTTTAGTTATCTATTTAAATCAAAGGCGTGTGTGGCTGAGCAGTTAACACCTCGAACTCTGGATGTGGAGGTCCGGGGTTCAAGCCTCGTCCATCGCGTTGTTTCCTTATACAAGGTACTTTACTCCACTTTGTCTCTCTTCACTCACATGTACAAATGCACGGGTACTGGTGACATACTGCTGGGGGGTAACCCTGCGATGGACTAGCATCCCATCCAGGGGGTGTAGCAATACTCCTAGGCATGCTTCATGCTAAGGAAATCAGGATTAGCTCCGGCCATGTGGGCCTTTGGATCATGTGCGCCTTCACCTTTTTTTATTCTAATCAGAAATTCAACATGCTAATAATAATAATATCTTCCTGCTCTTGAGAAAACACGATAAACAACATAATATACAGACTCAGAGAAAAGAGTTTTAGGGAGAAACAGATTTCAACATTATCATAAGTCTTTCCCACTTGTGTAGAAAAAATTTTAAATGTCATTTTGACCATCCATCGCACATCTTAACCAAGAATCATCTGAGACAGTAAAGTACATGCCTCAGTTGGTCACTAAGATGTCATCAGTGTCACCAATCAAGTTTATCAAGTCATCAGTTGATGGTATTAAACCCTGGTTGTTGAACTGATTGGTCAATTACATCCCAATATGTTATTAGTTGTCTGCTAGATAAGCCGTTGAATCAAAATCTGTCAACAATAGAATGACCTGTCTTTATTCTCTATACCTGCTTCACTATGGAGTAAGTTCCCTTAACATATGCAAGCTGGTAGATAAAGGGAGAACTTGGCTGAAGACACATATCAAAGTGCTGGTTGTTCCTGTAGTTGATTCGAAAACTGGACACAAAGCAGTCAACCATCAGGTCCTCTGTTGTGACAAGGCTTCCAGATCCTAAAGAAAATGGCTTGCTGACATTGAACAAAAGACCCTGAAAGAGACATGATAGTCTGATTAAACTTGCTGACTGCCTTTTATCTTTCTAAAATTCCAGGGTGGTCATGCAAAACTGGACAAGCAATGAACGAATGGGCTACAGCTGTGGGTATCTTAAATGGCATGACATTTGAACCATATGGGTTTCCCCACCATGAATTCCTAGCACTTTGTGATTAGAGCATCTGGTTAAATGGTCATAGTGATGACCATTTCATGACTCTCACATATTCATTACCAATATCCAGTTCCACTAATCTATCTTTTTTGCATGATAACAAATCCAACATCAAACTTATCATAGCATTTCTATACCACTACTGAGACAGTACCTTTAATTCATTCAGCATGGTCACCACGAGAAAGCACAGAACAGAGTTGTCTTCAGGTTTCATATAAGTGGCAACTTTGCATAGTTTAACACATACAACAGCTGCACTCTCAGTCAAAGTCTTGGTACTTGTCAGAGCCTTTTTCAAGTGATCAAGGAACTCTTTCTGTCAAAAATACAAGTTAGAAGAAAAATCATAAATTAAGAATGTGCTACATTCATTTGGCAGCATGCATTTTAACATCAGGGGCACTGCAAAAGCCAGTCACCACGGGCCTTCCCTTAAAGGTAAAGGTAAAGGAAAAGCAACCATATTTTACGTCAGTAAGTCGTGACAGTAATAACTGATTAACTTGAGGTCAACGGTGCACTCACTTTACCTCCCTCTCTCCATCAAAGCTCTGTTTAAGGGCATTTAAAGCTAGTCAAACTCAGCACCTCGTGCACCAAAGGCTGTGCACTGACCAACTGTGCCACCCTTGCTTCCTTCCAGCAAAACCCAACAAAAATAGACCAAGATACCAGGGTCTACTCGGAACAGAAGTGTGAGCACTATATTTCCTCTTCGAGTCTGACGGGGAAGGATTAAGGAGACATGAATGCATATGACTTAATGTCACCACCCTACGACATAAATATAAGTCATGATTGTGGTGAAGTGAGCATGGTCGTAAAAGTTTTTTTAAGACCTTGGTTGGTTGTCAATAATTGTCTTGGTGATGTCTCTGTCAAGAAGGCTGAAAGAAACATTTGTACACTGTGATTTTCTGTAATTGCATCTTATAGTCATACAGACGACAAACATAGCTGAAATAGGGATTGTATGCTTTGGTATTTAGGTTCTTTCCATACATTCCAGCCATTAGCCTCCCATACGAGAGCTGCAGGTACTGAATTAACAGGGAATGGGGTTAGAGGAAGGTAATAAGAGCACCAAAATGTGGAATGGAGAAGAGGAAGATGAAATGAGCAACAAAACTGGCCAAAAAAATTGAACTCATTCAGAAGCTACGAGGTGAATAATTATGATGACCTGCCTAAAAATAAGGCAAAAAAAAAATGCAAACAAAGGCTCTTTCAAATGGGAACTCACAGTACAAACAACCAAAAAAAAATTCATTTATGGTCAGATTGCAGTTTTGTTGCTAATCAGGTATTTAAATAATTAATACCTTGTTGGCCTTGCTAACTTCAAATACTTTTTCACATGTAGCTATTTGTTCAAGCATGTCCTGAATGAGCAAAAAAAAATTACACACATTAATATTGTCACAATAATATAGCCAATACTGTTACAGCAAGCTCTCATTGTTACAGTAAACCAGACAATTTAAATCATCACCATCATCGTCATTGCCATTGTCATCATCAACATCAATAATGCCATCAGCGTTGCTACATGTATTTTTGTTATCATTATTGTTCAACTCAATAATGAACCCTTTAAGTCCCAATAGTGACCAACATCAATTTTCTCCTAACAATATCCATACATTGTCAAGAGAAATGGTTATGAGAATTAATCAAATGATCACCAAAGAGAAAATGCATGATCTTTTATTAAACTCTCTCAACTTATCTCTAAGGAAACGTATGAATATCAGTCTGAAGAATTTGTATGTGGATATTTGGGCTTAAAGGTTAAATATGATAACACATGTATGTGTGCACAATAATAACAAAATTTTCTTACAGGACATAAAATAAGCAGCATTATTTGAAGGGGCCAGACTGCGGCCTTCCTTTTGGAACTTTCTGCAAAGTTATCCACCATGTCGAAAAGTTTCTCGGCATACTCTGGGAAACATAATAAATAGCACATTGTACTGCACATATGTCACAGGATTAACAAAACAACTGTTCATGTGGAATAAAGTGACAACCCTCTACTGCATGTCTCCAAGGAAAAATATACAGGAAATGAGCCCAACCATTGTGGATGCATTTTTTATTATTTTGTAAAAGGGATAAGTTATCAAATAATGAGTCATACATTGGTGACTTCTCAGGTATTAATCATAACAAACCTTGTTTCATGCAGACATTAGGTTTAGCATCTTACCCAAATCACTTTGACTTGGTCTAGTTGCAACTATCCCAGGGATTTATTATTATCATAATTATCATAATTTTATTATGATTATAATTTGTTTATCTATAAGGTACATAATTTTCACGGTTTAATACTTTTGGGAGGGACAGTTGATTTGTGATAGAATTGCCGTTACAGTTTTATTTCTTGTTTGAAAATAGTAATAGTTTTAAGGTACTGTACGTACATATTTAAACAAGTTTCTGTAAGCTCTTTAGTGTTACATGTGTAAATGAACTAGTTAAATTATTATTTACCTAGTTAGAAAAAAATAAACTAGCTAGAAAAAAATTATCTAGTTAGAAAAAAATTAACTAGTTAGAAAACAAAATTAACTGAGACAAAAAATTAACTACAACATATACATCACTTGGACCAAATTTCCACCCAGGAAATAAGCAAGACAAATAATTGTAAAGCCTACCTGAAAGCTCAGGTGAAGGTTGCCTTTGAAGATGTGCCAATTCATCAGGACTGTTTTCTACCCAGTTCCATATTGCCTAGTACAAAGTAACAGAAATCAAAATGTTTTAGGAGTGGTTCACTTTTACCCTCGGTTATTTACTTATTTATTTTGCCATACAAGAAGAGAGAAATGGTTTAGTAATATTTACAGAAATCAGCAGTATACATTATAAAATATTCAAGAAGATAGTAAGGAAAGTAAAGGGGCTTTCAGAAACCATTAGGCTTCTCTACAAGTAAGGTCTCCTTGCTGAATAGGACAGTCATATACAATCAAATATAAAGCAGAAATAAAATAAGCTATGAACGATAATTATTGGTTTGGCAAAAAGTTGCATTGCGTTATTCCAGAAAAAAAAGACACTCACCCTACAGATGAGTTTCTGGAAATTCTCAGGTAAATAGGGGGTGAGGGGGCAAATACTATGGAAATCCAGGCAGGAAGGGGGTGTTGGAACTTAAAATAATTATCTTCTGTTTTCTTTGTGACATTCACTTGATTTGTCGTGCCTACAGTGACATACAGTTATGCCACTTTTGCCATCCAAGTTGTCATCTGACAGCTTACATGTGTATTATTCATTAACATGATGCAATTAAGCCTACCTTTTCTAATCCTGACACCAGTGCTAGCTGACCAGTCTTCTTTAGGGACTTAAATACTTGAATGCTCTCTGAAATAAAAGAAGTACATGTAACCGTTACGACGTACACTTATGGGAGGATTGAATAGTTTTCATGTCGTGAAACCAAACAGGTTTCCAACAGAGATTGAAATTATGGATTGGCTTCAAAAGTTTAAAAAAAAAAACGATGATGAAAATAATAATAATAATAACAATAATAGCAAAAGTTGTACCTTGCAAGAGAATTTTGAGAGATGAGACATTCACATGTAAATGACGAATGAGTTCAATATCCCCAGTGTCAGAATTATCTTCCGTATTGGCAAGAACATGTAATCTGAAAAGTGAAGACATCAATAACTTACAAATGGCCATTGGTTAGTAAGACTGAACCACTTCTGCACAGAATAATGGATTATAAAGGACATGAGCTGAAAACATTTCATAAAAGAGTTTACAATAATTGAATGAAAATTTTTATTTTAAACATTGGTTAATTTGCAGGCTCTGAGCTCTTCACACTGACGCAAGGCTTTAATGTGACACAATTGAACCAGGGATAAACAAAGATGATATTCCCTTGCAAAAACTGGGGGGATGGTACTTAACAACTTAATCACTAATACTGTAAACTTAAACAAAGAAAATACACAACTAGAAATCTTTGGCAGTAAAAGGGACTAAAGGTTGTTGGGTGCAACCTAATGTAAAGCAAGGGCGGCAGCAACTCACCCCCATAGATGCATGCAATAAAGGTGGCAGAGACACACCCTAAACTGGGTAATGCAATGAGGGCGGCAGAGACAAACCCTAAACTGGGTAATGCAATTGGGTAATTCGACGAGGGCGGTAGGGAGACACCCTAGCAATAATACACAATGGAATGAGGGTGGCAGCGACACACCGTAGTAATAATATGCAATGGAATGAGGGTGGCAGCCACACACCCTACACAGTAATAAAGGAGGCAATGCAAGTGAGCAAACTAAGGTGGTAAGAGTGGTAGGTGTGCACTCAAGCCAGTAGTCCAGCTTTATTGAAGCAAAGGGAGGGTATGTGGTGGGGAAAATATAAACAACTGATGCATATAACCTACTGAATAAAATGCAGCGTGAACATGCAAAGCTAAAATACAAAGAAGCACTCAAGTGGTATGACGGCTATAGGCATAACTTAGTATAACTTACAGCTAGTAACAGTAAAGAGTTGTTATCAAGAAAAGGTCAGTTCTTGCGAATATCTAAATAAACAGGCCACTCTTGCATAAGAACAAAGTCACGCAATGTCCTTAATCACATGCTAAATATAATGTGGCTGTTGTAGCCAACAAAACTGAGTATATATGGTAAAATGAAGGCTGCAATAATCTCTGATTAGTTAATTCTACTTTACAAGTAAAATATCCTTTATTAGGCACACTGGCTCACGTCATGAGGCAAGTATCAGCCTCTTTATTCTGATTTCTGCCAAGTTATAGGGACAAAAACATGCAAAAAATGTTTTTGAGACAGTAATTTGAGAAAAACTACTGTTGAAGCAGTAACAACAAAAGCCTTTTGTTTCCTCAACAACAAACTTGGCCAAGTGCAAAATGAATCTTTCCAGATTGTCAATTACTTGGAAATCAAAGCTTCCTGCAATTCCTGCAATTTTTATATTTCATTTAATTTTTTTGGAACAATGATTGAATTATTTTATCTTTTTTTCTCAAAAGCAAAAAAAAATGCACAATAAAATTTACTAAAAATCATAATATAATTATTTGTATTCACCTAATTGCAATGCGATTAAAAAGAGCAGAGAAATGATGGACACTGATGTGAGAGAGAACTCTACCAGCTAATGCTCTCTGTTCAGCTTCCAAGGGAAATCCATTTGACTGAGTAATGAACTGTTGAAAATAATACACCAAGGAAACAAGTGAATTCTGAATCTGAATATAAATCAAAGAAATGCAGTCTTTGGAAAAAGTCCCAAAGAGTGATCAATAACGAAACTCTTACTGTCCAATCTGACTACAGTCAAAACAGTGTACAGCGGCCCTGTATATAGCTGTCACCCTGAATATCATGGTCACTGAACAACTTTCAGAAACATTGTGCCTTAGATTTACCATTAAGATGGCCTGTATATAGTAGTCACCTGTCAGTCAGTCTTTAGACTTCCCAAATCCAAAATTTCATTGCTTTTTTATCCGTATATGTACAACCACCACTAAATTGAATTAACATAAAATCTTAAATGAATTATTGCAAGCTTTGTTCAAGAGCTCATTAAGTGTGACCACTGGGGCAGGGGTCTCGCAAAATACATAAATTCAACTACCGAATACAACTACATCCTACGCATGCTTGTGACAGGGCTCTTATATTTTAACTATTGTCCCTACAATTTAAATGGGTGATTATCTTCACATAAAAAGGTTATTCAATAACTTCCAGCAGAGTTTAAAGGAAACCTGTGTACAGCAGTCACCCTGTATATGACTGTCATCAGAAAGTTTTCCAAGGGTGACCAATATAAAACACTGATTTGACAATGTGCAACTGTATATACATGTACATGTACAGTTAAACATAATAAGCAGAGTCGCATAAAAAATTCATACCTGGCAAATTGCAGGAAGGAGACGTTTGTTCAAAACTTCATCAGGTAATGCTGCACATTTGTCTGGATTCTAGAAAGAGAAAGGAGAATCCCTTAACACGTACATGTAAATTTTCAAATATGAGAGATTACTGATGTTTACCCACAAGAAGTGCGTCCCCCTCCCCCCGCCAAAAAACGGATGCTTTGTTGATTGAAAAAACAAACATAAAAAAATTAATGCAAAATCATCACTGAGCTACATTTTATTCTAAGCTGTTCAATTTCACTTTTATGCCAGGATAAGGACTGTCCAAAAGTTCTTAGCAGTTAAACAACGTCCCAACATACAGGATACTGAGCTGATGGCCATCCCTCTCAAGATTCACTAGTTGGTTTTCAAGCTTAGCTTGGTACACCTTTTTCAGAGTTCATGTTTGGCTTGACATTTAGACAAGTTTAGGCAAACATCAGACTTAAAATTGTGACATTCAATTTTGATGACATTATCATACCTGTTCAAAACATTTAGCCATAGTGTCCATTGTCAAGCCATTGGATTGACAGGCAAGCGTCACGTTTTCTGCTGACAGTGAGCACTGAAATGAAATGGTAATGAACGTCAACTTCACGTATACTTATTTGCAAGATACCATAAACTTTTAGTTATAAGCACCCCCTCCGCACTTATAAGCCCCCCATATATACGCCTATCTAGCCTTCTCCCACCCCGAATATACCCCCCACCCCTTTAGCTTGTATTGAAATGAATTCGCCTTTTCATGTTTTGAGGCTTACAAAAGCCATCAAATTCAAAAAGTATTTGATCAGCACTGCTATGTAGCTTGCTTTGAAACATTTTTTTGTCCAGTTTTAAGCCCCTACCCCCATTTAAAAGCCCTCGTAAAAACCCTTACGAAGATGTATAAGCCCAGGGCTTATGATCCGAAGTTTACAGTACTGGTTTACAGTAAACTCTCTTGTAATGGGCACCTCAATAAGATGGACACCTTGTTCCAGACAAAACTCTGCCCAACTTCAAGAGAGTCTACAGTTGCAATCACATACAGTAAATGAAATGAGAATTTGAGTTTTGAGTGCATGAAGACATTCCCCTAAAGAGAAAAGCAACCAGAAAGTACAGTCATGTGACTGTCTTATTTTTCCAAGGGGGGTGAGAAGGAGTCTTTAAGCCTGCAATAGCTTATCTTTTCAGTCAAAACAAGATATTAGCTAAAATATTACTGCTTAAAGATCAAGTAAGCTGTCTGTGACTCTTTGCCTCTCAGAATTTATGAATACAGTAACTACTGACAACTGCACCTTACTCTCCACTGATCTCACTTGTTTTCATAGTGCCTATAGATGTACAGTTGTAGGCAGAGAAATGGCAAGAGGGGCAGGGGAATTTAACATTTACCGGTATGAGAAATTTGTGGCTGGGGCACACATTTCTAATAGCTCCATGTATAAAGTAGGCAATACTCCCGACCCTACGATCAGGTAGCCCTTCTCCCCTTTTTCTGCGAAGGACGAGGGGAAAAGGACAAGGGAAAAGTTCTTTTTTACCCTTGGCCATTTGCTGACTTTTTCACTCTCCCCCCCCAAAAGAATACCTAATCGCAGGTTGAATATTCCTATCCCGTTTGACCAGCCCTCCATAACATGGTGAAAAAGTGGGTTGAGTAAATGTGCTCAGTAGATTAATATTACACCTTGAAATATGAAGTGAATAAGACTTGAATAAATGGACAAGTTAAACTCACTCACTCACCAGAAACGCTGGCTCCTTAATAAAACTTGCCAGATCTGACACCACCATAGTGAAGTTATGTTCACTGAGGCTGACAATGCATTTCTTGATGTGATCTGTGCTTTCATGGTTTTGTTGGGAGTTAGATGATTCAAATGGAAGCTGCAAGGAAGAAATGAATTTTGAAATGCACATGAACATTTAGAACATTTACCTCTATGGTATAGAAACTCTAGCAATCACAAAGAGAGTACGCTCACGAAACCTGACTGAGGTTGTTTTTCAAGTAACTTTTTTCTGTTACGTTTTTTCTCGAAATTTTGCCACGAGTACAAGAGGTAAGAATGTAAGAATCCATCAATTTTTAGCACAAAAACTGAGGACCTGATAACCATATATACAGACACCTATGTAAACTTGCCAAAAGGCACAAGGGTCACTGCAACGGATGGTCACAGCTAGAGAAAGTGAGTGAGGGAGTTACAAGACGAACAACATAACTGATCACCTAACCAGCAGAAACGTACCAGAAACAGGCTTAGAGAAAGTCTAACACGTTTCTATGTTGATGAGATATTTAAGGTACTGACATTGAAATTGACCATATCAACTCAGCTGAAAACACCTAGTTTCAGTGTGCAAAGAAAGTAGTGTCCGATAGCCCAGGGCTAGTGGATTTTGTTATCGGGCTAGTGAATTCTGTTTTTAACTTGCCCCACGGGCAGGTGATGTTTTTTGCGGAATTCGAATAACAGAAGAACTGTTAAATCAATTCTGCTCGTCAAACAGCTTTTGGGGCTAGTTGAAATGACGTCTTGGCTAGTAAATGCTAGCTCCAGCTTGCCTGAATGGCAAGCTGTAAAAATGACTTTCTTTGCACCCTGTAGTTCTCACTTTACTTCTGCTCTGACGCAGCACTGCAGTTTTCTTTTTTTCACATAAACCCCTTTACCCACATTATTTGGGTAAACAAACTTGCTAAGAGTTCTAACCCCCTACTGGCATTGTCATATGATTGAAATCAGGACTTTAAATAGTACAACAAAATTTCTTGTCATAGACTTTTATCTATCGAAACTTTTGTTATCTTCTGTTGAGTTTTCAGTCATCAAAGCAAACTTAACATGATAGCCCTCTCTGATTTTTTGTTTCCTAAAACATAACCTAAAGACGCGAATGGAATGACACGAGAATAAAGGCGGGAAAAAATCTCTTTATCCATTTCTGACAAACATGTTCGAAATGATACACGGGAAAGAAATCATAAGAAAATCTCGACACTAACACAACTCGGACATGGTCATTAACAGAAGAATCGCATTTCTCTTTCACAATAAAAATAAGGTTAAGTAAATTGCTGGATAAGCATAAATAATTGGTAACTAACTGTACTCCGGCCTGATCGATGCCTCAAATAAATATTATCGAAACAGCCATCTGCTTGACTAGCTTTTAATATCTTATCGTTCAAGTTAAAACATTTTCCACCCAAAACGTTTTGTTTTTACCCACAAATTTAATATACTAACATATATAAACCTCGTCTTATTCATTTAATGCAAACAATAGGAAAAAATTACTCTAGTGTAAAAAATTCCACCGTGCAATCAAATGCACAACCTTGTAGGCCTTGAAAAACAGCATATGGGTTAATTCCTAGAGGACAGGAGACATTTTTCGAACGAATGCAATGCACATCATCACTTTACCACTGACAAACACTTGGTCTTTCAATAAGAATGTCTTGCTGGGCTAAGAATGTTAAAAATCAAGATTGTAATTCCCATGCGGTGCCTTAGTAGTCGGCTTGCTTGCTACTTGTAGCTGATTACGTCGCAAAAACGCCGACATACTTAAAACACGCAAACCTACCTGAGCTCGGAACCTCCGCAATACGAGCTTGACCCAGTCATCGGACTTATTTTCTCGTTGCATTGTTCACTAGCAAATTTATGTATCGGATTTTACGAGCAGTTCTAATTCCGCTCGACATCGTTCAAGCTGCTCTCTATTTTGTCTGGAGCGAATGCAATCACCGGAAATGCGTTCGATTAGGTTCATCCCAAATATGGACAAAGGCGGGCTAACACCCAAAAAGAGACAACTTCCGGGAGGTTCTTGTGGGTAAGTACTTCATGTCAAGCCATCATATAATTCACTGGCGTAGGGTAAAAAAAACAAACAAACAAACAAAAAAAACAATCATCGTCGTAGGCACTTCTACCTGCGATTCAAGCCAGGACCTCCGTGTTTAAATTGGCACGAGTCAGATTTTATAAAGGAAGTTCCATGAAACGTTTCGGTTTTGTTGGCGTCACAAAAATGGGGATACTGTATTAACAAATCAACCGCAATTAGCCATTTCTGCTGGCCATTGACTCATTACCCACCATAGTCGTTGAGCATCAAGACAGAATGAGCTACCTCAATGAACATAAAAAAATGTCATCAGAGAGTCAAAAAGGTTTTCAAATGGAATTTCAAACTGTTACAAAGGTAACTAAACTTAAGTCCTTTCCCTCAGAGCTCTGGCTTTCCCTTGAATAGTGTTGGATGTCTAGGAAATTTTGAGCCGTCATTTTTGCCACCACTTGAAAGATACAGCTGATTTGTTATTTACAATAACGAAAAGTTACCAGCGAACAAAGTTGACAAAGGTATTTCTCAATATTTTAATTATATTGTTTGATTTGGATCATTTGTTCATACCGGTCCTGGAGCCCATCCTGCAACTTGGGCGCCTTCCCTCTACACCCCACACTACAGTAGTCTCGAGTAGTCATAGCAGCACAGCCAATTAGTGCGTCTCCACTCTTGACCCTTACTCTAGCACTTTGAACAAAACATCTAGATATATTTTTACTGAAATACAAGGTTCCACCAAAATACTCTAAATATCTACGCTAAGCTAAAAAGAACCTTCAAAGGGTCAGGCCAAGCTTGAATCAGCAAAAACGTGGTAAGGTGGCCAAAGGTCTGGAAGTCAGGGTGAAAAGGGAAAGATCATTGAACTTGGCTAAATCCGGGGGAGTAAAAAAAAAAATAGCGTCAAAGCTGACGTTGTCTCAAGTTAACTTTTCAGGCTTTGCAAGCATCCCGGTGAACATTTTTTTTGCCTCTACTTACAACGTTGTGGTGGGGGAGGGGTACTCCGGATTCCAAGTGATGGAGATGATCCTCAGATTTATCATAGGCGTCATTTGCCGTAAACGCAAATAACAAGACGACAATATTTACTATCCTTGAGAAAACTGCTTAAAGTGTTAAATCGTTTTGCTTTAAATCTGTGCACAGCTGACCATTTAGAAATCGAAGCCGAAATTACCTTTACAATTTCGCGCAGTAGAAAGGCATACTTGAGTATGCCTTCATTTTCTTCACCCTATCAGATTTTCAGATTTACGGAGGTTTATTGGTTCTGTGACAGAATTGGAATTCGGTGCGACTCTTGGTTAATTAGTCCAGGTTACTTTGCCCCTCTATTTTAGAACGAGGAATATTATATTTGGAGCCCGCTAAATGACTCGAAAATAGGAGGCGATCTAGCGAAGCCAAAGCGGATTGTTCTAATGAATGCAAGGGAAAAAAATCAGGTTTAACGGAGAACCTATGCCCATCGCAGATGGCATGGGTTTGAATCCCGTTTAAGCCTCAATAATTTTTTTGCAGGCTTTCTTTTCGCAACTTCTTCACACAACTCCCAGTTGCGTAAATGACTGCAATGATCTTTCACGAGTTAAATTCATTTAATATTATTGTTGACTGTGTGTCAAGGATGTAACGTTTCCGTTGCAAACATATTCAGTTTAATAATTTTACGAAAGGAATTTCTTATGACAAGATCAAGAACCTTCCAAATGACAGAGAAAAATTAACAAGTCATAACTGTCGTTCAAATATTTAAGAGGCGAGAGCAGCATACCGTCACCGTCTGATACTCGTTAGTATTTAACTATTTTGAATTTACAGATAAGGAAAACGCGAATATCTGGAATAAACACAAGCTACGTGACTGTGACAACAGGCGTACATAGCTGTGAAGCAGTTTTCTTTCGGAGTCTGTTCCATGTCCCCTTGCTCGCAAATTCACCTTGTTTTCTTATTATTCTATATCGAAGGTTTTGCATCAAGCTTCGCCTGAAGCTTGCCAGCCTCTTTCCTCATTTTCCTTGCCTCGGGCCAATTTCCCTGCATGGTGTAAGCAATACCAAGAACTGTTAGAGTTCTCACAACCTCCGGGTGCTCATCACCATGAATGGTCTTATGTCCGTTTAAAGCCATGTCCAGAAATCGCCGCGCCGGCATGGTTTCGCCCAGAGAAAGGTACGCATGCCCTAGATCAGTGAGCGTGCTGGCGACATCGCTCGTGAATCTGCGGGTTTCTACTTCATCTGGGTTGGTAGGTGCCGCTGACTGCATAAACGAGAAGGCTCGTTCAATGTAGTCGCGACTTCTCTCCTTAAAGCCTAAGTTCCCGTATGTAGCACCCAAGGCAGAAAGAGTGCGGGCATAATCAAGCGGCTGTTTGTATTCACCAAATTTCTTTCGTTGAGCTTCGTAAATGTGAAGTGCCCTTTCTAGAAGCTCTCGACACCTCGCTAGATCGTCTAATGAGCTGTAAATGTCAGCTAAGCGCGTCATAGTGGACGCCACCTCCAGACTCGATTCACCGTACAGCTCTGTTTCAATTCTCAGCACCTCTTCCAGTAATCCTCGACTGGACTCCAGATTTCCGAAAGAAGCGTCTATCGATGCTACAGCCGAAATTGTATGGGCGCGACTCCTAGGACCCAGGCTCTTCGATGTTCCAGCGGCTAAGATGTGATCAAGATGAGGCCTGAGGAGTCGGGCGAGTGTGCGTGTTTGATTGTCCTGCCCACATACAGAAGCTACGCCATTGACTGTTTTCAGAATACGCACTGTGTGTTGTTGACAGTGCCGAACTGCGTCTTGAGGCTTAATTTTTCTGAATTCTTCTTTTTCTTCCACCTCATTATCTGCCAGCAACTGGCTGACATCTGGCCCTGAGAAGGGTGAGAGGGCTGCTTGATCAGGGGCGACGTCTGGTTGGGTGACAGGCAGATTGCGTGACACTTCTCCGAGGGAATTGCGGTATTCTTGGAGGGTCCTCTGGGCGTCAAAACTCCACAAGCGGCGAAACCACGAGCTTGAGTTATGCTTGTCTTCTGCTTGTTTCAGGTATTTAGCTTCAAGAAGGTACATTGTCCTGGACAAGAAGAGTTGCTGAAAGACTGAATGCACCAGAGGACTAATGACCACTGTCTCCACACCTAGAAAATACCAACAAAGTCACTGTTTAGAAACTTAACGAATAGTCTGAGGGCTGAGACTAGTCTCCTTAGCAGCTGCTCTGGGCCAGAGTCACGCAGTGCTCCCCGCCCCATGCTACGTGAAGGCAAATATACCTTATTTCAAAATTATGGCAATATTACTTTTCTTTTATCTTTATGTCACTTATTCCTCTTGGCTTTGATTGCATCTGCATCTGTATTCCACAGTACTTTTACCTTCAAATGAGAAATTGATGGCTAATTCTCTACTTTAGAAGAAAAGAGGGAAAATACTCAGGCGAAGTTAACTTAAACAGAGATTTCTGGAACTGTTCCTCAGGACAGGGAAAAAATGGCTAATAGCTGACCGGTGCGTCCAAGTCTCAAATGAACAGGTACTCGCCAAGAGGCCTTATCTGTTTAGGGAGTCTGAGAATCTTGCATAGTCACAATATAGTCTTGTGAATGTTACCCTAAACCTAAAGTGATTTATATGGTCCATAGTTTTTCTTTGAGAAACTGAAAACATAAGCACCCAAAAGAAAAGTGGCATGAAAAGGTTTGCCAATATAGTACACTGTTATCCCTTATGCAAGACGTTTTCCAGCAACCAGAAGCAATACAAAAAAGCTATCCTCCAGTCTATATGGAATTTACACTAACATATTTTTTTAAATGGGTATTCTTAACCTTACCCATGTTTTCTATTTTCACCACAGACACCAATGGACATGCCTTTAACATCTCGACCACCCCATCAGACATCTGAGGCATATCTGGAAGCTCAGGATTGAGCATTGCCTTGATAGCCTCTATATTATTTTTCACTGCAGTCATAAAGGACTCTAAATTCTTAGCAAGCCTCTTGATGGACAAAAACATCTCTTCTGCTTCTCCTGTACTGTCTTCCTTTTCAGCATCGCTGGACTGCTGTTGGCTTGGCAGTACAGGTCCACTTCCAGTCACTGGAGGAAGGCTAAAATCAGGTGTCCTTAAATGCAGTGCAATTAGTGTCAATGGAACTGGCCAATCAGGGTTGCATGTGCCAAGAAAGTCAAAAGTGTGGAGAAGATGGGGATTTTCTTGGACAAGATTTTTGGTTTCCATGGCAATGACTACATGCAAGACGTCCAACTCCGAATTAGACTTTGCACTTCCAAACTTCTGCAAATTGTGTTGTACCTCGTTTAGAAAGTCTGCACAGGAATAATCAGGGTTTCTAGCAGCTTTTGATTGCATGTAATGGCCAGCACTTGTAAGAGCTAGAGGGTTACCATTCAGTAGTTTAACAACATCTGTTCCCGCTGTCATTTTCTCTTCATCAAACCCACTTAACTTAGATAGAAGTATCACTCCATCATCAGCACCCATTCTAAAAGAAACCAAAATTTAAAAAAAACTGTGAGGTTTGAATAGAATGTAATCTAACAAGTTGACATAAACAGTAACTTGTTGGTATTATTCTAAGAAGATATGAAATTTGCACATCCCATTGCCTTTAAACGGTACCAGATGACATGACAGATGAAGCATGCTATTTGAAAAGTATGGGCTAAACTAAACATCCTTTTATGACCTGAACTTGCCGAGAAACATGCAAATGATGATGGACACTTAACATAGATCGAAGTAAGCATGTTTTAGCTTGTTTTTACAGTAAGAATGATTTTGAATGAATAATAGATATTATTGGATTTGGCTTTTGTATAATCTGAAGAATTATGCAGATCTCAGAGAGTGTTATACTTAGCCTTCTCCCATAATATCAATATACTGACATCACTAAGGGTGATACAGTTCTGTAAGGTTGTGTCTTGTGGAAGGATATTATTACTAGTACCATAGTCTTTTTACTTACCCTTCATCAGTACTGCAGGTATTGTTAACCAAGGAATCTCTTGCGGCATTCATTTCCCTAGTAACAAGGATAGTTCCCTTTCCCCAACTTTTTCTTGAATCACTAGAAAACCATTGATTCAAAATATCAGTGTCCTTTAAATTCTCCAAAATGAGGATCCATGCTTGGCTATTGTGAAGTTTTTCTCTTACTGCTTCTACAAAGCAATCTAACTGCTTAATTTTGGATAAACTATTGAACTGCACCCCTTCTCCTGCTTTTGAAGCCCAGTCACTCTCAAGGCAGCCAACAGAAATTGCAAATCTTTTAATGTCAAAAAGAAAGCTATCTAGAGACGAAGAATTAACTGTTCCATACAAAAGGTTTCCTGGAAGAAAGTGAAAGCTCTTCTCTTCATCTTTGAAAAGTTTCTCTGCAAATAACCGAGCTAGCTGGGTTTTACCAGAGCCTGGGCTGCCAACAATATGTAAAACAGTCGGTGTTCCGCCTTTTTTGAGTTGATTATGGAGAGATAAAAGATCTGATAGCTCTCTTTCACGTGGATGTGCATAGTGAGTAGGGACAGGGGGGAAAGACTTGACTATCACTCGTTTCGTTTCGTGATTCTTGCGAACGTAGTAATAAATTGTCCCAGATATACCAAGAGTACCAAGAATCCAATACTTCAAATGTGGGTTCTCTCTCCACGATTTCGGTTCATCTTCGTCTTCGGTTGTTTCTGTTTGCCTTGCAGGTTCAGCTGAAGTAGAATATAAACAGCCTCTGTTGTATCTTTGCGGAATTTGGTTAAGCAAAATTCTTTTGCGGAGCCCTGCTACGACTGCAACTCGCAAACGAAGCCCAATTCGTCCATTTAAAAAACGGTAAAACATTGCAAATATTCTGTAATTCTGTCTCTCGCGCAAAGCTCAACTGGCGGCGGCCATCTTAGATTAGCACGTGCGTACTTTCTTACCCCACACCACTGAAAACTTTTATTGCGTTTGTAAATTTTTCACCGTGTACCATATTCGGGTCACTAAATTTCCACAGTTGAAGAATTATGACCTAAACGAAGAAATTCGCTTCAGAAATTCAATATTCTCTTACAGTTTCAAACGTATTTTTTTAGAAAAGTCGTTCCCGTGTCTACCCTCCTTGACAGGCCTCCTTGACATACATTTACCTAATTTCCAGTCTTCACGCGGGCTTGGAGGAGGGAATAACGCGTACCATGGCCGCCTCGAAACGCAAAATAATCATTGATTGTGACGCCGGAATCGACGATGCTCAAGCTATAATGATCGCGTTAACTCAGGAAGTGGATATTTTGGGCATCACTTGCACCTTTGGAAATGTAGATGTTGATCAGGTGTGCAAAAATGTCCTCAAAACACTGGAAGCTTGTGGTCGTACTGACATACCGGTCTACAAGGGTGCACATCGCCCCATACTAGGTAAGCTAATGCCCTACTAAGCAGCATAGCTTTTCTACGAAAAATGATTTTAAAACCTTAGACTTTAAGGCTGAAAGTTGGAAAATAAGTGGGTTACCCGTCCAGGGGTGTCCACCGGTAGGTGTCAAGATGTGGGGGGAAGTGGTGGAGGTGACTGGAGCCCACGCAGATGAACTCCTTGAGGCCTTTCAAGAGGGGAGAGGGTTATGCTGTCGCTTTGTTGGTAATTTCTGAGACTGCCTGTCACCTGGTAAGTCAGGAAAAGATGTCGCTGTCGCTTTTTAGCTCGAACGAAAGTGTCCTTGTTAGTTCAGCATAAATTTTTGTGATACTCAATTTTGAATTTACAGAAGATCAATTGTTGCTATGATAATCTTAACCCCTGAGGGACCGTTCTTGAAAAGTACCATGATTAGAAAACATTCCAAAGAAAATAGTAGAAAATGCAAGTAATCAGTGAAGAGGGTTTTTTGACTCTCTTTGTTGACAGCCAAAATGTTAAAGTGAACAGATGTCACTTCACTGCTTAAAAAATGGGTTGTCACTGTCACAGTTCTTTCTTCCTTTTCTGTCGATAGTCAGTGCTTTCTGAGAGGATTGTCACCAGTTTTTGGGACCATGTCGCCTGTCGCTTCTACCCCCTGGAGGGCCTCCTTGAGGGTCCCAGGCCACCAAAGAGTTAGCAACAAACCCCAGGCATTTGTACCTGAAGCCTAAATTTCGGGTGGAGCCTCCCTGTGTAGGCTGTTATAGGGAGTACCCGCCCCCTGGGTGATAGGCATACTCTTCTGCTCTTTTCAGTTACAATGGAATCTGGATATTTTGTCCTCCTGGTGGATTATCAGTAGGTTCCAAAAATGACTGGTAAAATAAGATTGCTTTGTTTGACTTAAAAAGAGAAGTCAGTTTTTGTGTGAATTATATTGTATTGGGAGGTTTGAGAAACTGAGGCCTCAAGAAATTTGGGATTCCATTGTATTTAATTTATTGAAAAGGAAAGTGTCAGTCTTAAAAACTTTTCTATTTATGGTTCTCATTGATTTATTACACAGGAACCAGTTTTGACAAACCAGAATATCATGGCAAAGATGGGTTAGGAGATATGCCTGATCTTAAGGACCCAGATATGAATCTCCTGAAGGAGACACATGCAGTTCAAGCTTTAATTCAACTTGTAAATCAAAACCCTGGCGAGGTAGTGCTCATTGCTCTTGGTCCTTTGTCCAACATCGCTTTAGCCTCTAATATGGAAGCTGGATTCTTTACAAAAGTCAAGGAGATCTATTTGATGGGAGGGTGTGTTCATGGCAAAGGAAATCACTGGGTGTCAGCAGAGTTTAACTTTGGTGCTGATCCAGAAGCTGCATATATTGTGCTTAACGAGAAGAATAACTGCCCGGTTTCCCTGATGTCTTGGGAAGCATGTTTGGATCATGTATTGGAATGGGAGTTCTATGATCGTTATGTAGGGACAGGTACCAAAAAAGCTGAGTTCATGAAAAAGATTTCATCAAAAATTAGAGAATATGAAGGCGATGGTCCTTTTATTACATGTGATCCCTTTCCAATTTGTGCAGCAGTTCAGCCCCAAATTGTCCTGAAAGAAAAGCTTGTCTATGCAACAGTAGAGCTCAAGGGAGGTTTCACACGTGGACAAATGGTTGTTGATTGGTATGGTGTACTGAAAAAAGATAGCAATGTCCGATTGCTTGAGAAATTAGATTTAGAGCTTTTTATGGCAATGATGCTTCATTCTGTTAAATAGGATATTGCTCAAGAACTCAGTACTGTTGTAAGCTGTCATAGCACTAACGGGTTTAGAGACCATATTTTAGTCTAAAATCAGATTTTCAATTAAAATTTGACAGGTGAAAATTACATTGCTTTAAATAATGACCAGTATTACCTTCTTAAACTCTTATTCAATTTCCAGGAATAGCTCTTAAGATTAAGAAACATGCCTGAAATATACATTGCTTTTCTGATGTTTTTGTTGCCATAATGCTGTTGGTTGCTTAAGCTCCCCAAATTTGCTGCTTATAGAATTGCATTTTCCCTTTTCACTGACTGAGTAGCCAACGTGATATTCATAAAAAATCTTTGTAAAATTTTAAGAAGTATTTAGTACCATGAAAAACATCCACCAAGGAGGTGTCACTTGAATAGTAACATGACAGGAGCTCATCCACAAAACATTCTTATTAATTCTTAAAGGGGCTATGTTATGCTATAATTTACTATCTTTTCAAAAAGCTAAAATATGTCTTCACATCAACTGAATTCCAAAAATAATGGTCTAGTTTTGTTATTTAAGACTGTATTTAGGCCACGGAAACTGTCTCCCGTTTTCTGTTGCTATGGATGGTACAGATGGACTTGGATTGAAAGTGTAAAAATGTATGGCTATTTTCAGAAACAGCATTGTTTTTTAAAATTAATGTGAATCATAATTCCTTCACAGGGAGGTTTACTACAAACTTGATCAACTTATGTCTAATCATTTCACATTATATTGCACTTTGAAGAGTTGAACTTGGAAGAATTAAACTTAGAAGACTTGACTTTCTTCTCAAATTCTTCCTGTGCTTTTAGATAGGATAATGGTGGCCACCGATGTTCGGTGACATAGTCTCTGTTATCTCCTTGTACAAGATCAAATTCTTCAGTTGACTCAAACACTGAGAAATTTGTTGCAATAAAATGGAGACACCATCTGGATAACTGCTTTGCATTGTGAGCCTGAAAACACAAATCACAGTCATTTAGTTTGCATACACTGAAATGCTCAAGGTACACTTAGGTCAGTTCAAATGCTGTGCCACTAATGCTTAATAAGTACTGAAACAGCAGTACAGTTAGAGTGATGTCATACTGAATATTAGAATTTGTGAAATTAAGGGAATAGGCCATTTGCACTAAGAGGTCATTAGACATCGTTTTCATGAAACTGAAAGTTATATGATTTTTCCTTCGAAAAACGATTAGTGAGTAATATCTTAAACAAAATAATAGTGATTTGGCTTTTCAAACCTGCACCATTTTCTTAAAATAAGTAAGTTCGTAAATAGTCACGTGATCAAAATGTGATTTTTAAAATTATGAATTATCTCTTTCTGAACACAAATTTTGCACTTAAACGTCAAGGAAAGTGATGAAAAGATGATGTGGTAACGTTTACAGCACATCTGAGCGTAACTATCAAACGTTTCACAAAATATAAGCAAAAAGTAGTTTTGGCCGCCATGCTGGAGGGCAAGAGTATGCCCTCCAACATGGCGGCCAATACAAATCATACTACTTTGTTGAAAAATCAAAGTGCCATAAAATATCTCCCTTAAATGCGTTTCCTCTCAAATTTCGGGTGTAAGATAATTTTTATGTGCTGTAACAATTTTTGCATTCAGCAAGATTCCAACTTATTGTTTAAAGGAACCATTGGTCACGTGACCTCTTAGTACAAGTGGCCTCTTGTTACAACACATTCTGAGGCTACGGAGCAAGATTAAAAAGGCTTCATTTATTATTTTGTCAAAAATCACTAAGTTGTTTCAAATAATTGGTGTTGGGATATCAGCCCCAAATGAACTGATGATTCCATTCAAATTCTTCTATATTGGCCTGGTATGAAGCACAACAATCCTACCAAAATTATTTTGTTCTGGCTTTCTTATTTAAAATTATCTGTCAATCCCTATGAGGCTTAAAAAGCACTGGCCCAAATTTACACGTCGACAAAAAAACAAAATGAAGAATTCTGACTGGTAGTTGTAGTAAAATGATGCGATTATGTAATATTCTTGGCCTAAATGTGTTAACCGAACCTGAACTAAGGGTTGGGTAATTTTGGTTTTGTACGGCATGCAGGAGAGGATGTCACATAATGATAATTTGTTATGGACTAGCCACACCTTCTGCCCTCCCCCCCCCCCTCCTACACACATACACACACTAATTCCAAGGGTGAACATAGACTTGTTTTCAAAACTTCTTTGAAACGGACATCAAATTATGCTGAACCATAAGATTGATCACAATAATGAGGGGTTGATATATGAAGGGGTTTCTGTAATGGTAAATAAATATCAAGAGCATTTCAGAAAGTCCACTTGAAGAGCAAATAGCCTTAAGTAGCTTCTTCATCTGGAAAGTATCCATGCACCTTAATATGTAAAGTACTTTTGGGGCGCATGTCTGTAAAGTAGAGTAAACTAAGCCTACCTTCTAAAATAAATGTTTCAAGTAAAGGAAAGTTGATCTTACTTGACATGTAAGTAGGAGGTTTATGACATCACTCGTGCCATCAGCCACCCTCTTTTGTATTGTGGCATCCACTTTTTTAGTGATGTAAAGCTCACATAGAGTCACCAGCCTTGGCAGACAGAATCTGTCAGCTAAAACCATTATTTCCACAGAATCACCCTCTTCTATCGGGGCATGGTCAGTGTAAAGATATTCCAGTAAGGCCAAGAAACTTTGGAGGGAAGTGTCCCCAATCTTGATCTGTAAAAGGAATGTCCAATTTAGCTGTCAATGTGCAGTGTATTACATCTTCAGTAAACTTGCAGTTCCACAGACCAACTATTTCGACCCATCAACACAACCTCTGATAACTGGCGTGCTTAATTACAGGAGTTCTAACAAATTATGTCAGAACTCTTATAAGCACCAATTCTCTTGTAACAATATTACTGGCAGGTTTAATGAGATGCTGCATTTCATAGACTATATCAATCTACATACAGTAATGACTTTCACATATAGAGCTTCTCTTTATCAATGGCGGATCCAGGGGGAGGGTCTGGGGGGTCTGGACTCCCTATCAGACCTGCAGATGGCTTTTTAACTCGCTGATTTTTCTAATAAAATGCACATTACATTTTGCACACTTAAACTAAATTCCAGGGATATTCAAAGATGCAATAATGTTCTTGGGTACCCTCCTATGATCTGTTTGCCTCTGCTCCTCTCAATCTTTGATACTAAGCACAAGATCGAGGAGGATGTTCCAAGGGTGCATCCTTTTCAAGTAGAATTCAAGTACACAGTAAGTGGCCAAGGAATACTATAACATGCAACCGCGACTGGTGAGAGGGGATGTGGGGGGTGTGGGGGAGAAGTAATTTGACACAAAACAGTTCAATAGGTCTTTTCTGAACCAAAGTTTTGACCCCCCAATCAAATCGATCCACCCCTGTTTATTATAATTGCAGCTTGCTCCTAGGGTGTTTACAAGGACATCATGACCCAAAGTTTTATTCCCACATTGTGTTCTAATATTATTACCTCTGAGTCCAAATCACTCTCAATGAATGCTCCACCCAACATGGCTGCCATGACCTCTGATCTTGCTTTCAATATAACCCTGTGTCCATAAACCACACTGCCTTCAACACGGAACTTGACATCAGCATGTAATGACTTGTTGAGAAACAGCTTCTTGGCAGCATTCCCTGTGTAGTCATTAAGCCACGTGCCAATACTTGGATTCAAATATGATTCCCCTTTCAGAATATTTGAGCAGTACTCTGCCAACCAGCTCAACTGAAATTTAATAGCTAGAGACTGGATTTCTTTCACAAAGTTTATCTCTTCATCTTCAGAAATGTCTGGTGATCCAGTGTAAAGGAATGTCAATAGCTCCATAAAAACACCCTTTAAAATACTCTCATGCAACCTTATAACTGTCTTCCCTCCACCCTGGCAATGCTCTTTCATGTGGATAAGATTTGGACAGCTGTTTTCTTTGTTACAAACCCAAGAAATTTCCTCAAATATTTCACCATACGTTTCATGGCTTGGAGTCACTTTACCCAGAAAAATATTCTTGAAAATGGAGGATGCAGCAGTTAGAACAGTTTTATGTGCTTCCACTGTTTGGCCATCAGAAAAAATAAATGTGACATCTGCTGTGCTACTGTCAGACTTCATGGTGTGCCACTCACTTGCAAATGAGGAAGTAAGCACTTCAACATGTGGTGCAAAACCTACAAAAACAATATGTAATAAAAATTTACTCCACTATAGACACCAGTATCCTATGCATGCATAAAGTTCACTAGGTAGACACATTAAACTGACAAGTTAAAAAGGTGTCTGCTTAAAACTACACGACTTTATGAAAATAATAAAAATTACAGTGTAATTCTCAACAAGGTAAACCATTCTGTTCTAATAATTGGAAAAATTTGTTTGCAAAAAAACACTTCAGCATTAAGCTCCATGCAAATGCACTCAACATTGTTGGCCAATGACTCCCCTTTGTTGGAGGAAAAAACAAAATTATTATTATATTACTTTTGTTACCACAATTAGAACTTTAAAATTGTGAATTTCAAGCCAAAAATCTCCTTTGCACCTCCCCATGACCTTCATTTCAAGGTACATGTACTTCCCCCTCCCCGCCTCTCCCAGGATTAACAGTACCTGCAGGAGGAAGAACAGGAGGAACTGGTTCTTGTTCATTTGCTGATTTGGATTTTCTCCTTATACTCTTAAAAAATCCTTTCCTTGAATTAACTTGTCTTTGGGGCAAAAAGGTCAACTCAACAGCGGCGTTGAGAGCTTGATGAACACCATCATTTAACAGAGAACTGCATTCTGCATATGCAATACCAAGAGATGCTGCAAGATCCTGTCCTTCTCTCATTGTCACGATGCACCTGTCATCAGATGTGTTACTGCTGTAGAAAGGCAAAAACAACAGTCAAATCTCGTGTAAGCAACCACCAAAAATGTGAAGAGTTAGAAATCGTTATCGGGAGCTGGTCACTTGCAAGAATTATTCTGAAACAAGGAAAGATAAATGTATAGTTCTACAAAGCCACAAAGTTCCTGAGTGGTAGTTCCTTTTACAGTGGAACCTCAGTCACCTTTTGAGTGCATATACATGTATGTGTCCCCTGAATGGAGGTTGAATCTGTATTTTGGGACCCAGAAAAAGTGTCCTTTTCCTGCAATAGAGGCTACAACTGGAGGTCAGAAGTGTTGCAACCTTTTCAGTGATATTAGTGAAACTAGCAACCTCTCCCCTCCCACACCAAACAAAGTTGAATTTTTAGCAAATGGGTGAAATGACTGCTTTTTTGGACACAACATTGCTGGGGGAGGGGAAGTGGGGGGACGATGGGATGTACCCAAAGGAGATCAAAAAATTGTCATTAGGAGCAGAGTCCTACATAACAATTACTTGGAAGGGCTTTTTCACACAACCCAATTAAAGTTCTTTAATTTTTGTCCTCCATTGTAGGTGTCCTTTCAGTAGAGGTAGCAAATGCAAAGATTACATGAACAATTTTTCTGGGACCAGATTTTGAGTCTCCTGAATGGGGGTGTCCCAAAGGAGAGGTTGCACTGCAATTTAATAGGCTAATGGGGATGTACGATTGGATGAAGTCATATTTTTGTGACTCAGGATTGACACAACAGTGTTACATTTTCAATAGAGTTACTAGAATGGGTTCGCCATTTTAGGGAATTTTTGGGGGTAAGAAAATACTGGAATTTAGGGATTTAGAAACGGGAAGGTTCAAAGTTAAAAAAGTGACAGAACGTGACTAAGTGAAAGTGAATAAGTTGGGATTGCAAAAATTACATTTGTGCTAAAGTGAGCAGGACAGGGTCTATATATAATTGGCCACAAAAGAGACTATAATGGGGTAGGGGTTGTGAGAAGCCAGCAGCACATATTCAGCAAACATTGACCCAATTCCCTCTGAGCAGGTTGAGGCACCAACTTGTCCACCATACAAACTCGGGAGGGGAGGAGGCACTCCCATATGAAAGGGGCAGGGATGCTCGTCGGAAATTTTGAATTAAACCCCTAAAGAAGACCAATCTGGGCGTGGCCCAATCTTTTTTTGACCCCTAAAAGCGATTATTTTAGACTTTGATTACATGAATCGAGTAAATAAAACAAATTGAAAATATATAATTTTTTAATACTTCTTCGAGTGCAACCCTAAGAGACCTTTAGGGCTAAATATAATGGTGTTTTGCCCAGAACACCCTCAGCACGACCAAAATCTGAAATTTACACCCTTCAGCGAGACGACGAGCATCCCCGCCCCTTTCATGTGGAAATCCCCCCCCTGTCAAGCTACTCTCAAACTTGGCAACATCACTGATCGTGAGGCGCTTTTCTAGTTTTTGTCTCAGCTGGTTAATGTCAAAAGTTGACCAAAACTACATAGACCTTCTCCCAACCCCAAGACCCACTACATGGGAAAAGCATTAGTAAGTTTCTTTTTCTTTTAACTTACTTGGCACTACGAAGATCCGTCTTGGTCCCCAAGAGCAGAACTACCGCTTCTGGAACAAAATGGCGAACCTCTGGAACCCATTTCTCTGACACGTTCTGAAAAGAACTTCGACTTGCCACATCGAAACACACAACGAATACATCTGTTTGGGGGTACGACAGCGGTCTCAGACGATCGTAATCCTCTTGGCCTGCTGTATCCCAGAGTGACACCGTGATTGGAAACCCACGGACCATAATATTTGCCGCATAATTGTCGAAAACTGTAGGGACGTAATTGCATGGAAAATGGCTGGTTGTTGCGCAAATAAGAAAGCTGGATTTTCCAACCCCTCCGTCACCTACCACTACAAGTTTCACTTGCTGCATGCTTCAAAACAGTCAACTGTGCAGAGTTCTTTACTTGTTTTATATCCTGGCTGTTCCTAAAATAGCTGTCCAATCAGAAGCCTGCGAGAACAGCCGCTGAGTCGCAGTGAAACGTTCCCAGTTCCCAGCGGCTTAGCCTCCCCGCAGACGTCCTTTGGGGTTCGTTTGTCACGCATTCATTTCTCCCCCACAGACCGTGGGGAGAAATGGATGCGTGACAAACGAACCCCAAAGGACGTCTGCGAGGAGGCTACCAGCGGCTAGGAGCGACGACAAAAATTCCATACTGATGACGTTCGTAGCTTAGACGAGGAGCTTCGTCGGCCGCAGTCCGATTCGTAGCTACAATCTTGGACAAAATAAAATGGAACAGCGAACCCCCATCCCCCCACCTTAAATCAAAGATGAAGCCGCACGAAGGGCAAACGCCCCATTTTCCCATCCTTGATTTTTTTTTAGGGCGGGGGGGGGTCTACGTTTTCCATCTATTTTGTCCAAGATTGTAGGTGTTTTTATCTGAGTGATCTTAGTAGGAATCTCTTCCCAAGTTTTGGTTATGGTAAACTTAAATGTGTTTGCCGTAATTTGACCTTAAACGTGGTTCATGAAAGTTAAGATTTGAGCTCGGTCGCAGATGAACGCAACACTTTACCAAAATCGGCCTGGAGAAAAAAAAAATTGAACAAATTTGCACGACTACCGGATTTATTATGTAAATATAATAGTCATCGGTATGGAGTTTTTGTCGCAGAGTCGCAGACTTCCTCCTCGCGAAACGTCGCCTAGCGGCGATGAGCGAGTAGACTTGCCCTCAAGTCTAAATTTTTCTCGAGCGAAACCGGAAACGAGAAGCGAAGGCCTTTGAGAAAGGAGAAACGTCTGTTTCCGCAAGCCATCCAATCAGGGGCAGGAATAATTACGCGGGATGACGTAGTCAGCCAGCGTCTAAAATTCGGTAGCGCATTCCTTTCGTCGTCTTGGGAGTCAAAAATTGCCTTGTTTTTTTAACTTTCCCGTATCCCGTGCCCGTCCCGAGAAATTGTGTGGATTTTTATTGGCCCCAACGTCGAAGCACGTGCAAGTCAGGCTGGATTGCACAAGCCGATAAAACATACTGCGTCAGCAAAGGAGGGAAAAGTAAGCTCACTGTGTAGAGGAGGACGAAGACTCAAGGCCGTGCTCTTAATACGGCGCAAGACTTGGCCTCGGGCGACTGAAAATATTGTCTAGGTGGCCCAGCCGGGCGACTTGCTGGTGTTGGTTTCTTGTTTCTGTTGAGTTACAGTCAAAAAGCTAAGAATGTCTAGAATTTATTACTTGCGAAATCGTAGCTCTATCGGTGGCTTCGCGGCCTAAAAAGAACGCTCCTCTCGCTAAGAAACTCTTGAGGTCGACTCTGTAAGTAGCAATAAGTAGCATGTCTATCAAAAAGCTTTAGGAAAATGTTGTTACAGCTGATTTCATTGCCATGTATACACCCGGATTTTCAGACATGATTCGACGGTCATGATTCGACCTGTCATGATTCGACACTAATAAAGTGACGTATCACTTCGCAGTGCGTAAACGGTCGCGAAAATAATTGAGAGTTCTGCCGTGGGATCCGAAACAGTGAGAGAAAAATCTGGCTGGAAAGCTTAGCACTAAAGTACATAAGTGTAACGAAGCTAGAATCCCGACAAATGCGTTTTACCTGAAGAGGAAAGCTTTGTTGCTTGGAAAGCAGCGACATGATACAGAAATTATGATAACATTTGATCAGGTGATAAACCTGGAGTTCGATTGCCGAGTCCGAATGTATTTCTGTAGGCGATTTCATAATGGACGAAATATTATCAACACAGCGAAAAGCGAAATAGTCCGACGGTTAATCGTTAGTCTTCTTCCGTATGACAAGGTTTCGGTGTTTTGCCGTTGGTGAATACCACCCGCAATTTACATGTAACAGTGATGCAAATTTAGTTAACAGGGAGGCAAATTTGTATTTCCTCAAGTTGGTACTTTTTCGTCCTTACTTAACTTCTGCATGGTTAAAAAATAACAGGAAACCTTGACGTTTTGCCGAAGAAATCAACAGATAAATTGATCAGTCTGCCGTTGTGAAAGAATTTGCTGGAGGGTTTGAAAGTTTTGTCGACCGTTGAAAAATATCACAATGTTCGATCCTCGACCTATGACCCTAGTAAGCACAAATAAAGAAAACCATACATAAAAGAAAGCAAAATTTGTTTTTTTTTTGGTAAAGGGTAAAATATGATATTTCCTTAAAGATCAAGGTAAAAGCCCAAAACAAGTTGAGAAAAGAGCCGAAAAACTTATTGATCGAGACGTCCACACGCCCGATAACATGTATTGCGATTAGATTGCGTGACTGTATGAGAAGCTGTTATCCCGGAAAAGGAGAACAAATTATGGATCACAGTCCTCTTTTTCTGAATTACAAGAGAAATATTCAAGCTATCATCAAAGTAACTTTCAGATTGTATGCTTTGATTCCTGTAGGATATTCAAGGTAAAATACTATACTGCTTGGTAACCTCTCGGTCGAATCATGACGGTCGAATAATGACCGTCGAATCATGTCTAAAAATCAGGGTGTATACACCGCACTGAAATCAGCTGTAAATCGGGCAGCGGGCGCGCGTTGATGTTCAAAGGTCGTTTCACGTGAATTCACATGTAACATAATCCTTGACTATGAACGTGACAAGCTGCACAGTTTTCGATAGTAACAGCTTTTCATAGTAACATTGAAATTTTTTCTTCAAATTAGGATTGTTCATTAGTTAGTTTTTCAAAACAAGTTGTTACTTTTGCTCTAACAGGCGTGAAGTACGGTCGGCGACGCAAAACAATAGTTTTGTATTTTGAAAAATCGCTGAATAAACAAGGGAGTCGGTCTTCTATGTTTTTTAAATATTTTTACCTTTTTTGACTGCTGTGTCTGCGAGGATAAAACATAACTAAGATTGTTATTCCAGTAAAATACGATGCATAAAAAAGAAAAGAGACGACCATTATAATTGTGATTGTTCTAGAATCGGGTATAAAGGGAGTATAAATCTATAAAATCCCGCATTTCATGTCGTGACAAGGCATTACGTATCACGTACTAAAAATAAATACGCAAAAGCTAACCGAATCTACATTTGTCCTGAACATTTCACCGGTAATATAGAAAGAAAATACTTCTGTTTTGCCCTTAAAAGACGACTTTACAACAAGATGATCTTTTCCTAAGAGATAATAGTTTTGGGGCGACCCCCGGTGGGGGGGGGGGGCACTTCCTTATAAATAGGCTAATAGGGATGTGCCGCTGGATGGGGTCGCATTTTCACGACTAGATTGAACATTAATGGGGTTGCATTTTCAAAAGAGTTACTAGAATGGGGTCGCACATTTTCGGATTTTGGGGGTAAGAGAGCTGTTCATATTTACGGTTAGCAAACCTATCAGGATATTTGTACTGTAGGTGAAAAGTAAAGTGTTCTTCATTCAATTTATTAAAAAAATAGGTCAATTCATTTCT